AAAGACAGACTATCCAACATCAGAGACAGAAAATGAGTTCATTACTGTAATTAGGCCTCCATGTCTCTCCCTATTTCCATCTAGTCCTCTTGTACACCAGGCCCTGTGCCTAAAACAGGCCTAATAGCAGTGCATTACTCCAGTTAGCAGAGGGCTGCTGGAAAAGCAGACCTCCCACCCTCCATCTGTTGCCTCTCCTGCACAGACGGCAACAAAAGAAAGGACAGAAAACAGCCTTCAGGTCACACTCCAGCAGAAAATCTGCTGACCAAGTAGCGCTCTCCATTGGTCGTGGGAACTGTGGGCTGGATGCAGAGTGAGACGTATTATAACTGCTGGCATCAATCATTTTGGTGGGGGAAAGTAGCTAATAGAGGAAAGGCAAAGGAAACACAGACCACCATGTTCCCTGGCTTATCTTGTCCTGTCTCTGACATAAAATAAGGGCCAATTTTGACCCCTATTTGACCTCATTTAGCTACAGAAACGCAGACATGCTGGACTGTGTGTACATAAATAGTCTGGTCTGCAGATTGTTCGTCTTCTGTAAATGAGAGTTTAAGAAAATTCACTCAGAATTTTCTGTTTGTGAGCTGAGCATTTAATAGCAGCATGATGCTTTTTATCCCGGATAACTTCAGGTATACGTTAAGGTATCTTTTTCACTGGCAGCAGCAAAAGGTCAGACATGCTGTTTTGTTGCTTTGCAATCAGATTGCATTATGTCAGTATCTCTGTTAGAGGGTTAACTCTGATCCCTCTTCATGCACCGGTGCCACATTTTGCTCTTACATGCCCTGATTGTTAGTGTGAAGAGGCAGCATTTGGTCAACATGTGACATTTAGAGTTAAGCTGGAGATGCTTCTGCTCCTTGTCACAACTTCAAGGAAAAGTAAATACTTTAATGCATCGATGCAACAAAGCAAAGCATAATTGTGAACTACAAATGAAATATATGATTTTTTAAAAATATTTTTTTACATATTAAAATCATACCCCTTTATTTTCATATCTATAAATAAAGCCTAGTATATTCAGTTTCCATGGGAAGTCACTTAATTAGTTGCCTGTATGTAAAATAGCTCCTATTTAAATACAAAGTCTGTGGACATTTGTGGAGAACATTAATGGATTAATGGCATCATGAATATCAAGAATTTCACACCATACAAGGAGAAAATTGTTGATTTTGAAACAATGTCCCAAACTTTAAATACCTCACAGAGCACTTTTAACCAGTTTTTCAAAATTGGTACAGATAATGGCACAGCTAACTAACTAAATAAACTAAATTCATTCTCTGGAGGTGCTGCAGCAATTGGCAGCTTAGCAGAATTTAACTATCCACATGAAAACTGTCAGCTACATTCTCTGAATTATTCAGTTATGAAATAGTGGGAGAAAAAAACTATTTTTTGGAAGAAGGCCATAAGAAATCCAGTTTCCAGTTTCCATATCCCCATTTAGGGTAACTACAGCATGCAGAATGTTTTAGTTACCCTAAATGTTTTTAGGGTATGTTTTTTCTGTGTTGCAAAGTGTGTAGAAATAAAATTTAAACTTTGTTTTAATTGTGACAAAATGGGGAAAAATGAAAAGGGCAGGAATACTTTTGCAAAGCATTGTGAATAACTTATGTTTTTGGATCATAACTAACTATTTTCTTGTTATTTCTTCCATTATATGTTAATTCTAACCAAGAGTTTAAGCTACAACTCTAAATATAACATCAAACTGATGGGAGTAGATTCACATACTTAAATATTTCCTGTTTCACTATTTAAAGGAAACAAAAACACTTTAAACTCATGTTTGCCCATTTGACCCTTTCAAATCCAGATCTGATCTGTGTTGATATTCCACTTTTGAAATGCTCATTATGTCGCAATAGGTCACATGTTGCATTATTCATTATTTGGCACAACGTTGCATTATGCATTCACATTGCACAAGATTGTAACGTGCTGTCCTCTCGAAGCCATAAATGAGATGCGGCATTAAGTCGCATTTTATTGCTGGTTATTGAAACCGAGTTCATAAACAACCTCCTGATTAAGGAGAAGAAAGGCTTTTAATGATTTAGCACTGAGTCTACATGAAAAATTACTATATTTCCCTTACATATTTGGGTCATGAATGCATGCATTAACCTGTATTTCATCCATGCAGGCAGTTGTGAGTGCTTTTCTTTATAATTAAAATGTTTCCTCCATTGTGTATGCTGTCTGGGTTTGGCTTGCTACTAATCTCATTGTGAACCATTTTCGCTTTCTCAAAATAGGCTATGCTCCTTTTTGATGGCAAACATTGTAGACAAATGTAAACAATTATGTGAGATCTGCAGCTTTCACACTAAAAGACCTCGTGGATAAAAGATGAGGTGAAGACAAGGGCATGAAGCGACACTCATCTGCTGTAATTACAGCAGATGAGGAAGAGAGAAGCTTCAGTTTAGCTTATTATCTTTTCTGATCATTTGCAACCATGTTTTCTGTGATGCAGAAGGATGACTGGATAACTCAGAGCAGTTTTCACATTAATGCGATGCACACCATGAGCTCCAAAGAACAAGAAAAAAAGCATTTAGGTCAGAGCTGAAGACTCATTAGCCAGATCTTCAATGCAAACACAAGGATTTTGAAGAGAGGAACCCAAAGACGAATCTCACTTATATAACCCTAATAGACCCTAAATAAAACATGTGCAGTAGCATGGACAGTTGATTAATCTATCCAATACCCAGTTATTTTTTTTCCTGCGGTGTATCTATAATATTATGCTACTCCCATATGGGGTTAGCAAGGTCGTAAAACCTTCTGTATTGTTGCTTTAACTTCTGTTTTTATATCTGTCTCATCACATACAGCTACAGATTTTGATAAACTCACATCTCGCCCCATGAAACTGTTTTTATTTGCTGTAATGCTAAGCTAATGTTAGCATCTTTATCCTCTTATGTTGAATAATTTAATAATTCAACATGTTTTGGTACGGTTCTTTTTAACAATATGTGCACAAAACATGCAGAAAAGTTCTCCTGCTTCATATAAGGCTGATTTTGAAGTTCTTGGAAAATGTTCGCATGTGTACTCTTTTATATGCTTGTCTAATCTTAGCATTATTTTTGTGTTTTGACAGGACATTGACTCAAAGCATATTTCAGTCTGCTTCTCATTACTGATGTGTGGATAAAACTCACAGATAAAAGTTCTGCTTCATAAATTTTGCTCTTTTGATGCCTTAGTCTGACTTACATTCTGTCCATCTAAAATAAACTACAAACAAAGTTTTTCATGTTCTACATTATCTTTGCACTTTAGTTTGACTAGTACTTCAGCTGCTCTCAGCATAGCTGTCTCCCACATGGACAGGTATTTGGGAAGACATATGTGAACAGTGAATCAAGCAGATCACAGCATATAGACAGGCAGGAATCATTGGTGTTTTAACCTTCTTGTAAATTTGAGACGCTGTAAATTCTTCTTCTTTTACTTTCAGCTATTTATTGTTGTGTATCTAGCTATTCGGTTTTGCAAGTTGTTTCCAAAAATAGACAGGTCCATAAGGCTGGATAAGTTTGTTTGTGCATCACGCGTAGATTTACAAACGATACACTAGCAACAAGCATTTTTGAGTTAGATTTAACTCCCCATTACTTGTTACTGAACGTTTAAACTGCTAACTGCGCAGTTGGTTGAAATAAATGTGATATAATGTGGTGTTTTTTGCCACAATTCTGACTACAATATCTTTTTCTCACAGACTGAATGAGATATTTGCATTTTGTTCATACAGTTCTGTAAAAAATGAAGAGACCACTGCATTGAACCCCATTGAAAACCTCCTGGTTACTCCACCTAATACTGAATTGAGTTAAAATATTAAAATTGTTGTTTCTAAATGAATATGAACTTGTCTTCTTTGCATTATTTGAGGTCTGAGAGTGCTGCATCTTTTTTCTTACTTTGACCATTTCTTATTTTCTCCATATAGACACAATTTTTTTTGCATGGAATTTCTAAGACTTATCAATATTTCATAGAATAAAAGAACAATGTCCATTTTACTCAAACATATGCCTATAAAAAGTTAAATCAGAGAAACTGATAATTTTATATGGTCTCTTATTTTTTCCAGAGCCATATTACATTGGATATGATCATTATATATTTATATAATTTATAGAAGGAGGACCTAATATTTAACGCCTATCTGGAAATTCCCAAGCAGAAATAAGGGCTGTTTTACAAGGACAAGAAAACCAATGTTTACTTCCCTTTTCTTTGCCCTCAGATGTTCTGGTTAATAAGTAAAACTGCTGATATTAGGCTTTTGTCTCCTGTGTCCTCAGTTTCCCAGCATATGTGACCACACAGTGTTGAGCAAATATTGTCTTCTGATGTTACGACTGCTGAGTGGAGTGTGACAAAGCCTGATCAGTTACTGCTTTCGTTTACAATCTGCCCCAGATATTTTGTATTTCAATACCCACCACAATCATTTTGTGAAACAATAAATTATAACAAAACCATTTCTTTATAATCTTTTTGGTATGTAATGGTGTGAGTGGTAGGATCAGATATTGGCATGCAAACATTTGAGTGAACATCTGCCTCTTGTTACTGTGATTTGCTTATCTACCATCTGCTCAGTACTGGCTGCACACAGCAACAACAATGTATACCTATCTAGTTGTAAACCTATAATGGCACCCCTTCCTCCCATCACACTAATTAGCAGTAGTTTGTAATGCAGACTACATAGCTCATAAACTAATACAGCCTCAGTTTTATCCCATTATAAAGGTTTGCTACGATTTAGATCAGCTGCAAAATCATTTATGCAGCTCAGCTGAATGTACCTTAATTATGACAGGGAAGAAATGCTTTTGTGTTTAAAATGAAAAATTTTCACTTGCTGTGTGCTCAGTTTTCTCTTTTGTTTTTGTCTTTTCTGCAGATCCAACTCAGTTTCTCTTTTGTTTTTGTCTTCTCTGCAGATCTGACTTCCCCATCTGCCTTTCTGTATTGGTGGTATCCTGTAAGAAGAGACTCTGCCGTTCTTGAGTGTCCTTGTCATCCTGAAGTGTCGGTAGTGATGCCACCCGTCCTGTGTGAGTTATGATTATGGCTCTCTCTTTGACTGAGGAAAAGAGATCCCCCTCCAGCCACATGACATGATGAAGACGCTTCCTGAAAGTTTGCGCTTCAAAGAATCTGCGAGCAGGATATGAGTATTTTGGGCCCTGGGACAGACAACAAACCAACCCTTGTGGGATTTGTGGGAGACCCTGAAGAATACTCCAAAGCCATGCAGTCAGAGGAGTTATTCAGCAGGAAACTCAAGGCCTTGAATGGCAGCATGGGACCACCAGCCTCCAGTATGCAGGTGAAACCGGACGGTGCAGGGAAAACAAATGGTACTCCTGCCATGCCCAAAATGGGCGTCAGGGCTCGGGTGACAGAATGGCCACCACGGAAAGATGGCTGGGATGTACGGCCTTCTCCCAATTACCAGAGTGTCATTCCGGTTTTCCAGAACGGACAGCAGGAAATTCCTGTGGATTTACTGGAGCAAGGCGAGGCAGTGTGTGTGGAAGTGGACTACAATGACAAATACACACTCAGCGACCTTCTTTGCCACTCTCCCTTAAAGGGTCTCCACCCGATCCGTCAGCGGAGCAACAGTGATGTCACCATTAGTGACATTGACTCTGAGGATATAATGGACCAGAACGCTGTCAATCCCAACACCGGAGCCTCTCTGCACCGTGAATACGGAAGCACGTCCTCCATTGACCGCCAGGGCCTCAGTGGGGACAGCTTCTTCACCATGCTCAGAGGCTACAGAGTCGACAACTTGGATCACCGAAGCATACCGCCTCTGGGATTCCCAGAGTTGTTACGCTGTGATGCCTCTTTGTCCCCAAGCTTACAGACAGCCGCACAGATTGCCCGGGGAGAGATAGTCCACATTCCAGGCTATGATTACATAGACAGTTCTCTCCTCTACAGCCGGGAACGGGAAAAGTCCTTTATGAGGCGTCTTAAATCGGAATCAACAGAAACTTCTCTGTTCAGGAGACTGAGGGCCATTAAAAGCGAAAGTGATGCCTTGAGACTCTCTTTAGAGGATGACCGGCGACCCCTGAGCTTTCAGAAATGCTTCGCCCACTACGACGTCCAAAGTGTGCTGTTCAATATCAGCGAAGCCGTGGCAAGCCGGGCAAACCTGAGCCAGAGAAAAAACACCACCACTGGAGCTTCGGCCGCCTCAGTTGGTGTTGGGGTCGCGACAGGTGGAGTGCTGGGAGGTGGCAGTGTTGCTGTGCCTGGAGACGGTGGAGCAGCAGGTTGCAGCGGTGGAAATCAACCCATGTTCGAATCTCCGCTTGGGAGCAGAGAGGATCTGAATCCCAAGGAGAACTTGGACATGGATGAGGGGGATGGAAAGAGCAACAACTTGGTGCTGAGCTGTCCGCACTTTCGTAACGAGATCGGTGGTGAGGGAGAGAGAAAGATCTCCCTTTCCCGGGCCAACAGTGCCAATTACAGTGGCATGTCGGAGAGTTGCTCATTTGAGTCCTCCCTCAGTTCCCATTGTACCAATTCTGGCGTCTCTGTACTGGAAGTGCCAAGAGAAAACCAACCAATCCACAGGGAGAAGGTGAAACGCTACATTATTGAGCACATTGATCTTGGAGCATACTACTACCACAAGTTCTTCTATGGAAGAGGTAAGAGTTACTACTGAAAATTGCTGTTGACAAGGGTGATTTACATTGATTTTGGTGTAATGACTAAAGAGTTCAGGATGGTCGGGACAAGGTCGAATTGACAGTGGGCGGTCAGATATTTTTCTAATTTTTGTTTTCTCACAAACCTTTCACGGTCCACAAGACACACCAAGTCAAGCTCCCCTGACGGTATATGTCATTGTGTTTTGTCGCGTGTGGTTTACAACTGTACAGTAAACACAGTGATCATGACAGAGGAACAACTTTTACAAGGAAATAATTGATGGACTGGAAAATGTCATTTTATTTTTGTCGTTACTGAAAAAAAAAAAAAAAAAAAACATTGGTGAGCCATTCTCCCACTGCATCAGTCTAGACCTGTTCAGGGGGAGTTTAATATTTCAGGACGTATTTCCTCACAGCCTCAAAATCTGATCTCTTTCTGAAAAACTGCTGCTCTATCTACCTGTGCTACCCAATGATCCCTCCTACTTTGCATAGATAGCCAGAGAAACGACTCATGGAAGTTGTGTAGAGCTGTTACCTGCATACATAAACACACCCATGAAATTCAGACTAACCACACAATAACTGGAGAGGAGTTATTGTTTGGTTTGCCACAGGGGTTGTGACATGAAGAGGCGGACGACATGAGGTTGAGAACAAGATGACACAATTTTTGTCACGCATCTTCAACAATGGGAACTGATTTCGTCAGTTTGGCCCATATAGAGTCCTTTAGGCCATTTGCCCTTCCTTGAATCATACAAGTTCAGCTACATCTGCCTACATTCATAAGGTCAGATATTTTCCTGTAGGACCAGATGGAATAACATCCAGAACAATAGCCGGCTTGTGTTGGGATCGACCATGTGCCTTTACAGAAAAACATCCAAATCTTCCTTGAGATTTCAGTCCACTCCCTCCAAAGAAACTCTGATCAGTCATGTGAGAAGACTGAGGTGAATGAGGGTGTGTTGCAGCTGTTTCCCATAGGGACCACTGGGGAGTCGGGACTCTCATATGAAGCTGCAGGGTCAGCAGAACTATGCTAAGGTCTTGGTGCTCCTCATTAAAACACCTATTCAGCTGAAATGCCATGTGACCTAGACCCATCATTGCAACATATCTGTTTTTCTCACCGCTTGTTTCTTGCTGCCCAGAGCTGATTGAATTACCATTCTTAAGCCTGTCAGAAAACAGCTGCTTCACCTTTTACACTCGTATGTCTGAGCTTCTTCATAAAGATGCTCTATGTGGCGTGACTGGAGCTACTTTTGATACCACGTATCCAAAGGGGGATGTTGTTTCACTTATTGCTTGTCCAATAACAGGTGGAGCTTTAGCTGCTTAAATACCAACACAGAGTTCTCTGCTTTACTGTCTGTTTTACAGTCGCTTGCAAAAGCATTCCTAGCCCTTGAACTTTTCCACACTTTGTCATGTTACAGCTGTAAACTACATTGTATTTGATTAGGATTTATGTGATAAACCAACACGCTATAAATCTCACCCCTGGAGGATTTGCAAGAAGAAAGCCACAGGAAGACCCTTTACAGTTTACAGCAAAATGTTGGGAACACAGCAAACATAAGGTTCACTTGTCATATTAGATCAGGAGTGGGCAATTAATGTTTTCACAAGGCCACATAAAAAATCTGAAATGTCTTGGAGGGCCGCACCAGCAATGACACTAATTTAATATTCACATTTTCTCATATCTCTATTCACAATAAAAATAATGGTAAAGCAGATTCTTTTTGTAATACAAATATTCAGCAAATATTTATAAAAATCAGCAAATTCTGGTTTAGGTTGAAGTGAGAATTAAGACTTATTCTGTCATAATCACTACTTTGGATTACCTTGTTTGTGTATCATATAAATCAAAGTTTTTAACAAAAAGTGAATTAAAGGTTATTAATACATTTGGAATGCACTGTAAATATTATAATGCAGCTTTTTCAGAGGATGTATTTTGCATAGTATGTGAATTTAGTCCTTGCCCTTTCTTTGTGAGGTGTTTTATTGGATAGACAAGCTTGTCATCACCTGCACTTCACAGCAAATGCACTCTCACGTAAACTTGACCGTGTGTCAGTGTTACATGGCAGGCTTTTATCAACCTGGGCTAAACATTGACCTTACTAAGTGACTCCAGCTTATCTTACACTAGCAAACTGTGATGTTTCACCCCAGGATTTCCTAAGGAGGGCTGTATATGTTTTCAGACCAACAGGTTAACCTTTGCTGGATGCAGCCAGGGTCACGTTGCATGTGGTTTGTCAGGATTTTTAGTAAAGCGAGTATAACCTAACATGAAAACAGGATTAGAAGTAGGTTTTTATTTAAGGGATCTGTTCACATTTTGGGTCAGCAGGACAGGAGATGAAGCCAAAATAAATCCCAATTGACATGATTGTCAAGTAATCCATTTTGTAAATGGTGTAAAGCATGGGACGAGCACCAGGGACATGTTAAAGAAATTGATTGAAAAATAGATGTTGGCCTCAACCCTGCAGTTGCTATTGGATATCTAGTTGCCTTCTGGACTTTGACTTTATGCCTCTTGTAGTATTTCCCCTTGGCCCTCTGTCGCACACATGCCACACATTCACCAGATAACCTGGTTTCATGCAATAAATGTATAATTCATGTAGTTTCTTTTCATGTTGGTGGCACACAGAGAACACACACTCCATGGCATGAATTCAAAACCTTCATGGCTGAACTCCTCATGCGAATGTCAGCACTACAGGCCTCTGCTGACGTCTTTGTTTGTGGTCTGTTGAATCCAGGTCTATCTCTTCAGCTTTAGGCCGGATTAGAGAGTGTTTGCTCAAGACCCTGCAAAATGCTCACAAAGCTCCACTCCTGTCCACAGTCTATACACATAAACATACGTGCAGAGGTACAGATGTGTTGGTTCACCTGGTAGAAATGTCTACAATAGTCTCTTATGCATTCATCATCTGGAAAAGACTGGAATTTGATTTGAATCTATCTGTCTCGAAGAGCATAAAAAACAAATGTGCAAGTCCAGATATTTTTTCTTACCCAATTTGGTAAAGGTTTTGTCTTCAGACATTTTTTTTACACTTTACGAAAAACAAAAATAAAAAACAACTATATTTACTATTTTATTAGCAATAAATATTGAAAGTGCAGTACAAAAGTGCAAGATAAAGTATGCACACTCTAAATTACTCGATTATTTTTTTCATAACAGTCAATTTAAGATTAAATGTTTAAAGTTCTGCTTTTCAACAACCAAGTTGGCCTTAATGTTTTAACAGTAAACCTGTTTGAGCAAGAATAAAAACGAACTTGGTGAAGCTTTTATTTGATTGTTTCATCTGTTACATCACATTTACAGTCTGGACATAAGGTTATCACAGCTTCTCTTTGCTGATTGACATCTTGAACTGGGAGGATGGTAAAATTGTGCTTAGACAAATAAAGATGCACTGCATCAAATTCAGGACAATCAGATTCACTCATTTCTGCGTGAACTGTCTGTGTCTTTGGGAGATTTTCTGGGAAATTTTCAGAATATCCGCCGGTATCTTGGATGGATTTCCATGGATCAGTGGATCACATAATCTATTATTCAGAGATTGCACACCAAATATGTTAGATTTGCTTCCAGTCTGGCTCCTAGTTGTTCACATAACCTGTCATTGAACTAATGACTGTCCCTCCCATAATCGTCTGACTCTGTACTTAATTCAGAATTTTTCCAAATCTCCTTTTATCAACAACTCATTCAAATTGCTTGGTGAGTTCATCCAATAATCCCGTCCATCAGCTATACCTGCTTAATCTGCTAAATCTGGAGTCGTGGGAGGGTGGAGCCTGCTGTACGAGGTTTTAACTGAGACTGAGACATTTGGACATTGCCACCTGTGTATTACAACACCAAAATAATTACACACAGAACCGTATGTGACCAGTTCAAACTTTCTCTACGTTGTCTGTCTTTTATTTTTGAGATATCAAAAGAGACAGCAGTGACCACTCTGCACAGTCTGATCCAAATCACCTCCATTTGAACCATCCAAAATAAAGAAAAAATTGTCAAATCAAACAACTATGAAAATCTGCCACAACAGCTTGAAATCAACCTAATGTAACTCTCAGTATCATAACTGGAATATTTAAATAAAATCAAATTTTGGCTCATGTTGACAACTTCCCAATAAAGGAAGTAACACATTTCTGGGGTGAATCAGAAAGAAATTCATTCAAATTTTCAGGAGAGCATTTTTAATCCACTTCTTTAGAAGAACGTCTTCTTGTACTTTTAATATTTCATTAATTACAAAGTCTAAGAAAATACATGGTAAAACTTGTGTTGTCTGTTTGTATTCAACCCCACTTACTCCTTTACCCTCAAATAAAATCCAATGCATTTAAAAGTTACCTCAATAGCAAAGAATAATGAGAACATTCAGAAACCAACAGCACTATGAAGTCCAAAAAAGTACATATCAGAGACCAAGTTGTGAAGAAGTCTTCAAATTTAATTCAAGTCAAACTTAAAAATACTTACTGATCCCAAAGGAAAATTATAACTCATATTAACTCAAAATTTGTCAAAGAGTTATTGTAGACGGTGATGTCTGAGGGCAAAAAGATCTCCTCCCATCTGTGTTATAGCAAATTTGAAGAAGCCTCTGACTGAAGACACTACTTTTCTAAGACAGTCTTATAAAACAATTTCTGGAGCTTTGAGCCTCACTGTTCTATCTGTCTACCAAAAATTGGAGAGGAGACATGCCAACATGTGGCCATCTAGTTAAAAATACAAGAATATATTAATTAATCATAGAAGGAGCTACAAAGACAATGGTACAATGACTTGGACCCAAGTCCAATTGTGAATATGTGGTAAGACATGAACATTTGCAGATGCACTCCACCCAACATGACTGAACTAATTTGCAAAATTAAAAAAAGGGTGAACCTTTCAGTCTCTAGATGTGGAAAGATGGTGTAAACATGCCCCAAATTTCTTGCAGCTAAGCTATAATTTTAGTGAAAGAAAGTTTTACAAACTTCCACGAATCATTTCTGATTAAATAAATATAGAGACTGCATACTAAGTGCTGCTTGACTCTGCTGATCTGTGAAACAGGTTCTGCACACAGTTGTCACTGCTGCAAATGGTTTTAAAAGGATTCAAATGGGTACAAAATGGCCTGACCCCTCTTAAGGGTCATGCTGGCTTTATCCCACCATCCAAAATCACATATGTTAGCTAAATTGATCGTTAAAATTGCCCTTAGGTGTGAGTATGTGATTGCATAGTTGTTGACCTCTGTCTACCCTGCATTTTACCTCTTGACCGCAGGAGATAGACACCAGTCCACAGACAGAATTAAGCAGCCGTAGAAAATGGATGGATGATGCTTTGCGGGTGTGAAACAATTAATCTGATTTGTAAGCAAGGCCATTCCATCTAATAAGGCATGGGCTACTAAACAATTTTCATAGAATATATAATTCTTCAGTATTTGCATAAAAATACTTGTTGTTTTTATTTAAAACAAAACTGTTATGAATAAAAAAATATTGATTATCACAGCCATAATCATGTGATTTCATAATTATTTATTTTGCATTCAAAGTATTTAAGCAAAACATATAACAACCAAGTAAAGAGGCAAATTTGCAAATTGTAATAAAAATATAACCTTTTTGAATTAACGCAAATATAAGAAGCTGGTATTAGTTGGTTAGTTGGGCTATCTGCTGTGCTTGAGTCTGTAGTCAGCTGTTTGCCACATTTAACTCAGAATGAGTGGCGCTCCTTTAATTTGTTAGTCGTAGTGTGAGATGGTATAAGTTTCATTTTTTTTATTTTTTGTTGTAACTTGGTATCTATAACCGACCCTTGTCTAATGAAAAACTTATATCTTGTCTCTAGAGCACCAGAATTATTTTGGGGTGGATGAGAATCTGGGACCTGTGGCGGTGAGCGTCCGCAGGGAGAGGCTGGACGATGGGAAGGAGAAAGAAGGCATGCAGTACAACTACCGGATCACCTTCAGAACCAGTCAGGTAAAAATCAGGTTTCAATTAACAAGCAGGGCTGAAATAATGTATTTGCTAGAGTTAGAGAAGGTAGGCATAACAAAGATGGAAATCTTAAATGATCAGTCTCTAAGTACTTGAGCAGGATATGCTACCATGGTAGAAGTCTGCACATCAAACTCTGGTTTCACTGATGATTGTTGCTTGTTGGAAAGTTAAAATTTAGTGGAATCAGATGGCACATGTTGCAAAATTCATGTTTTACGTGCAAACACATTTATTTCATAAGTTACTGCATTTGGCATGTTAAGATCAGCGAGCTTAGGGCTCAGTCATGCAGTGAGAGTGGATCTGCTCCAAGCTCCCCGATGTTTCCAGACATTCTGGTTGGTCATAGAGGAACTAGAGCTGTCAATTGGGTTTGTTGGTGATCATATTCACTTTCTTGCTGTCTTTAACTTACACCTGAGCTTGCACACATATGCTCCCACGACGTGATTAATCCAAAAACTGAGATGCACAGCCTGCTGCAGCGAAAGCTTTCCTTGATTGATGCTGGTTGGCCTCACTCACTGAATTATTCAAGTGCAACAGATGTGTCAGGCAGGAAAATGTCACCGATATCCAGCACTGTTCTGGATTTGAAACCAGGCAGCCATGAAGCAATGTATCTGGGTCATGGTGGCCAAGCAGGCTGCATCCAGACAATGTTTTAGCTTCCTAACCATTGGAGCGTCTGTTTGAGTTAATTCCTCTCATTTAGCCCCAATGCCCTCTCTGACTGTCTGCACCGCTGCCTCTCTCACTCTCCCTGCCGCACTAAGTCTGTTAAGTAATTTGCTTTTCAGAAAGCTTCTCTGTCAGATGGCCATTGACTGCTGACACTAATGCTGACATGGTCAGTGTGGACAGAAATGGGATTTATGGGTGTAAATATGTCTTTGATGTTCCAAACAACGGCATGGGTTTTTCTGACTTGCACATTAATGGGGTTAATAGTGGAAGATCACTCAACGTGTATGGCCTGGTTAGTCTGTGTTAATTATTTAAAATTTGAGTCCTTAATGTAGTTAAGGACTCAAGTTCAGAGGCGTCACAACGGAGCAACCGGCCAGAATAACAGGGCAGCACATGTAACAGAAGAGCCAGAAGTTACATGCTGAATTTCACAGAATAAATCTCGCTTGTTTATTTTTTCCGCCAGTTGACGACCCTCCGTGGAGCCATCCTGGAGGATGCCATTCCATCCACGGCGAGGCATGGAACGGCCCGTGGCCTGCCACTTAAGGAAGTCCTGGAATACGTCATCCCTGAGCTGAACATCCAGTGTCTGAGGCTGGCCCTCAACTCTCCCAAAGTCCCAGAGCAGCTCCTGAAACTAGATGAGCAAGGGGTGAGTAGAGTCATGTCATGTTTCAGACTGGGGTCAGAATCAATGAAGGGTTGAGTTCCCAAACATTTACTCAAGTAAAAGTAGAAAAAAACATTAGAAAAACAAAGAGGAAGTCTTACTTTAGCTTAAACTGTAAAACACATTTTTTATTCTGATGATTGATTGATTAATCAGATAAAAATATTTTACAGATCTGACAATATTAAAAGGCCAAAAAAGATGCAAATGAACAAATAATTCAGCTTCTTTTTAAAATAAAAAAATGAACCCTTTAATGCCCGAAATGCAATGACAGCATTTGTTTAATAAATTTAAATAAAGTGAAGCTAAAACTATTCCACTTGATTCGTTTTGGTTAAAACATATTTACAGAAAAAGGAGTTTTGTGGGGGTTTTTTTTTACTTAAATGCAAAATGTATAAAACAGTTTTAGCTTAATTTCTACTCTGAATATTTTTTTTGTTCTCACCTAACGTCCTTTTTTTGAGTCACTTTACTCCAGCTATTGATTAATCGACTATTATTTCAATAATGGATTTATCACAATCAATCCGATTAATTGTTTGGCATATTTGCTTTTATGTTATGCATTTTAATAGGCTTAGAAGTACAAATAATAGAAATCTTTTTCTCATTATGGGCTTCATAGAATTAATAATGCAGATCAGAAAATGAATTGAAATCTGACAATCTCTGCAGCTGTCAATAGGATGTATTTAGCGCCCTTGTTGTCATCAAATGTAGCTGCGAGAGTACTGAAAACATCTCACTTTTATTAGCTTACTGTCATTGAAACGAGGTTAATGTGATGTTTCTTTATTTTTTTGATGGAGGGTGTCATCTGGAAGTCTTTCTCCTTGAACTCCTAATAATGCCGAAGGTTCTCTTCAGTCACAGGTGTCAGACGGATTCATTGTCTGATCTCAAGGCCTTTAATTTCTCATCTAATGAAACTACAAGACGGCAGTGGGAGTGGGAGCATTAGCCGTGTTTTACTATCAGAAAATCTGCTGCTTATTAGTCTAATTGCATTCATTAGTGTGTGCCCATCATTCTAACTGACAAGGGAAAGGCTCTCATCATGAAAAGCTCCACCAAGCCCACCTTTGTTTCTTCAGATATTTTTTTTTGCACATTTATTCAAGAGCAGTGGATAGTCCTTTCTAAAGCAAATGAATAACAAATTTACAGATTTTGCATATGATTATCCTGTGAAATGTCATTGGAAATGAGCATCTTTTTCCTTGAAATCTGCAGGCACATCATAGAGAAACTGACAAATCCATTAGGAAAGGGCAAAAGGTGATGAGATATTATAAGGAAATATATTCAAAGGAGGAGAGTGCAAGTTAATTAGGGTTTAAAGCTCTTCCAGATGACCTTGATCTTTTACACACTTCCACTGAAAAAGTCCAGTGAAGCTACACTTTATATTTAGACAGTAATATTTTTTGTGATTCAAATGTATAATTTTGCATAGAGTCCCTCTAACTACATTGACCCCTCTGCAACTTTAATATATTTATGAGAAAAAAGTCAGTATTGCATCAAGGGAGTAAAATAGTTTTGAATTTATCTTTTTTCTGTGCATATTTATTTTACATAAGCGATTCTAGGTTGTGTTTCGTTGCAGAGAACAGCTGTATGTTTAATATTTTTCCTCACTGAGTGAGTTAGAGAGATGTTCTCAATATCGTCATGATCAAGAAGAATCCTCTCCTCCATATCTGGGCTTTTAGTCTCTGCGGTAATTTTTCCAAGATTCAAGAAGAAACTGAATCAAATTTATTCTTATATTCTCCAATGACTGATGAACTGATTATGCACAGATGGCCTAAAAAAAGCATAAATCTGGTCAATCTGAGATGAGATTTTCATTAACAGAGATCACAAATTGCATTTATTTCTAAAGTATTTTAAAAAATAACTTCTAGAAAATAAATGTGATTTTTTTAAAGCCAAACAAATCATAAAATCCATTTAATTTGCAACAAATACAACAAACTGTGTTCCAGATTTCTAAATTTCTTTTCTCCTTTTCTGTTTTTTTTCTTTAATTATATTTGTAAATCACATTGTTTTATAAATCAATAAAAAGCTGAAATGAACATATTTAATGTTTTATGATAAACAAATAAGTTAAAAGTTAATGTTTCCCAATTCAAAATATTTAGCACTCGTACTTTTCCAAAATATGTATGTAGTTACTTACTTGTGGAAACTAAATTAGTGAGTGCAATGAATGAATGTTGGAATAAACAATACAATTTAAGAAATAATTATAAAAAAGTCAAGTAAGAATAATAAATACATGAATAAGCGTAGGAAAAAGGAAAGTAAATGAATGAATAAGTGTGTATACAAACTCCTTATTCATGTTTGTTTTTCTCCTGGACTCTCGCAGAAATTCCTCTTAAAACAGAAACCCTCACAGCTCAACTCTTACATATAATTTAAATTTAAATCTGATTTGTTGCTTTAGTTCAAGAGAGCAATCTACCACCTGCTAAGGTTGTTGTTGCAGTGCACTAAGATTGATTGTTATATATGGAAATTGAACCTTTCTGCTTGGTGACGGTGATGGTTTCTTTTCTGGTATTGTTCCAGCTGAAGGAATCTGAAAACCATTTGTCCTGTTTGTCCTGTTTAACAGAAAATGAGTCATGCCGTAAGTGTTTGAAAAAATGTAAACAGATCCTTCATCCAACAACACGTCCATCTCAGGCTGTGTTTTGAATTTATTTTGTAGTTCAGGAAGTTCAGTCACACTACTTGAGCTGAAAAAACTCACGGTTTTTCAATCCTGTCCTCAGACAAAGACGTTGCTCTTCAACTCCAGTCCATCTCACAAAGATGCAAAGATTTCGTCTTTAAAAATCCGACATATAAGTGCTTCTAAGAGTACCAAACAGACACTCTTTATCTGAGCCTTAAGATCCTAAAACAATGGATAACCTTCAGACGGTCCTTCACCCATTAGAAAAAGAGCATAAGCTTTCCATAAATCCTTAAAAAAAAGCCTTCAGATTTGATGCTCAAATGCTCAGGAATTTAGACTCAAGATTAAAATGTTTACCCTCCAAAATGTCATGTTTATTAAATTTCAGCAACTTTTTATCTGGAAATTTCAGCAACTTTTTAACTTTTTATAGATTTTGGTGCCAAAAGGTGTTTTTAATGCCAACAGTAAAGCTTTTTAAGTGCGTTTTCAAGATAGTTGTGACAAGCAAGACATTAAGCACCACTGAAACTGAGGCATGATGTCATATATGCTTGGTCACAACATGGTTTGAAGATAATTTTATTTACTTTTAGACAAAACAATGATTTTATTACCATCCTAATCAGATTTCCATCAAAAGTGACTTGACGGAACTGTTTTGTAAAAGAAGCTTGACTGTTTACTCATCAGATAGGATGTTGCTGCAAAATAAATGCAACACTTAAAAACTATTTGTTGCCATGGGGTTAGATGTGCGGTTTTGTAGTGTGGCACAGCTTTCTTCTACAAGGACCAGGGGATCCTTGAAGGTTATTACCCTTGGTTTGTTCTGGTGGTAAGGTTTTTTGGAACTGCTTTTCATGCTTTTTGTAACATAAGTAGATTGCAGTGGAAGCAGATGTCACATTAGCGTTGCATGTACTGCCAGGGTAATGCTGTATCCCTCAGGTGCCTCATGACTGTCTCCAGAGAATGTTGGCCTCATTTCTCCATCCACTCAGTAAGAATGCAGTATTTGTGTTGTGAGTTTTAAAACCTCCGTTAAGATAGTTTTGCAGTTATGCTTAAGAAATGTTCCTGTTAAGAAGCTGATCTGTTCTGAGAAAGGGGAGTAAAATATTCATTGAAAATATTTTACACTGTTTCACATTTTGTCATCTTACAAAAACAAACATAAGTGTGTTTAATGGTGCTTTTAGTATGATTATCCATCAGAACGCATTGCAAAACCGTAAACTCTATACTTTTAAGTCAGACTGCATTTCATGAATTAAACAATTTAGCTCACCAAAAAAACTATCTAATTAAAATTAAAGTCAACAAAGGAAACTGTTAGATACAAAACAAAGGATGTCTCTTTAATATCTTCGCTATGTATATTTTTAAAATTTTCTAATAGAAAGACTGCTTTAAAGAATTGGTTTGATGCAGTCATTATTTTTTAGCAAACAAAATCACATATATATATATATATATTTTTTTTTTTAACCCATAAGTATGTTTGACTAGACAATTCTGACAAACATGAGAAATGTTTTTACACCACTCCTGTAAAAATACATTATATTCCAGAACAAATAATTACCTTTATTTGTCAGTAACCAGTTCATCTATGTGTAATTTATTATTCACACTTTTCTGTAGTGATTCCACCAATTTGTTGATGAACAAAAAGCATCAGAAGAAGAAGGATAGACTGTGGAAGATTTGCACAGCTTTTGACATTTGAAAAGAAACTCATGTTTGCTTCTTTCAGCAAACTAACTTTATGCTATGGTAATTCTTTTATTTTATAAGTACACACAACTTTGGCTGATATGTCACCTAAAACTTAACTAGAATACTTTAAAGTTGATTTGTTTCTATGAGACAAAATATTAAAAAGTTCAAAGCAGCTGTATCTGTTGCTGAGTGCTGAATTTAGGTTACCTGAATCCACTTTTCAAGCACCAATTTGAAAGTCCTTCATCCAATCTGTAAGGATGTGCTGGAGGTTAAGTAAGTCCTTATAATTCCAAATGAAAAATAGAAGACCACATCATTGCACATCATGCAGTTTCCACTGGGCTTGAAGGTATTATAGCTTCCCATCACGGCGGGAGTTTCACCACGGAGCAGACTTGCTGATAGAGGAGTCGTCATGACAACCGTGAGGGGAGCACACCAAGAACTGATAACCTGTAACGGGGAAAAAGGGACGGTTCAAATTGGTTTCAGTCTATAGGTCATTTATTTTCCTCCACAGTGAGGAAAACCTTTTTGGTCTTGCCGATTGACATTTAGCTGCAGGGGTCAGGCTGGAAATAATGGGCCGCATGCACCAATCCCTAAATAAAAATAAGGATATATGCTAAAGTTGGCAAAGTTTACAATGATAAATTCAGGCCTGCTGCCTAATGTATCTAATTCACTCCCTCGTCGCTCCACAGCTGCACTTAAGTTGCAGGTAATAGAGTGGCTTAATTTATGCTCCAGAGAGCTCAGAGCACAGCTTCGTGAGAGGGGATTTCATCTCTCCTCTCGAAGGGATGTAAGGCCTTAACTTGAGCTGCAACATGGTGGAAAGTAGAGACTCGCCTCTGTTGAGTGTGCAACATATCAGCAACAGGAAGTGATACTTACTCCCAGGTATTTGTGTGTGTTGCAGCTAAGCTTCCAGCACAAGGTGGGGGTTCTTTACTGCAAGGCGGGCCAGAGCACAGAGGAGGAGATGTACAACAACGAGAGCGCTGGCCCGGCGCTGGAAGAGTTCCTTGATCTGCTCGGCCAGCGGGTTCGCCTCAAGGGCTTCACAAAGTACAGAGCCCAGCTGGACAACAAGAGTAAGAGAAAGCCTGTTGCGTACCCTTAAAATGTGCAAATTTATAAATTTACATAAATGATTTCTAAAACCTGTTTGTTGTCCATTTGTTTGTGCGCAGCTGATTCAACGGGAACACATTCCCTGTACACCACCTACAAGGACTACGAGTTGATGTTTCATGTGTCCACCATGCTCCCCTACACGCCCAACAACAGACAGCAGGTAAACTTTGTACTTTATTACCTCCACTAATCACATCATTTGCTCTTTCACGTGGAGAATCGCCATATAATGGTTTTAACAAGTCCCTGGGCAGCTTCTCTGCAAGGATCTTCCAGTGCTGATTTTTGCCAGCCGTCCCTAGAGAGCCGTTTTGCCATGGTAATAACCTATTAGCTGAAAACACGGGCATTGCCATGGAGACGCCAATGTTTGGATTTTAATCAGCGCTTCCTCATGGGATGGACCTGCCGCTGTAGTAGACGAGCCTCTGTCTCTTTGAGAACAAGTGGGATTAAGTGAATGTAGTGGCTGATGGGCAAATGGTGGCTAGTAATGCATAATTGACAATGTTTCAGTTTGTTGTTGTCTGTGCTAATGTATGGAAGTGTCTTCTGAGCCCTTAATAAAGCCTGTGCACACAGCCATGTAAAAGCATTCAATTTGAAAAGACTCAAGGAGGTTAAAAATGATGGAGAGAAGCAGTGTAATGTGGTGGAAACCATTCTGGCAAGTGCCTGTTAGTGTTTGGTATTGACCGTTTGCAACTACGTCACTTAATAATTCGAGGCGCCATGATGGATGTCGGAAATGAGAGACGTCACTTGGGAAAACAAACAACTTCGGTTTGTTTTTGCAAGTTGTTCTTGTAATCATACTTACTTATAAAATGTAGGACCGTTACTCTTCCTACCTTGTAAAAAGTGTTCGCTGCAAATACACGGTTACATCGAGGGCTGACAGCCATTATGATTGACGGCTGCTATCCATTGCCACCGTATATTTCCTAACTTTCAAAGTTATAAAATAACATGACAAGTTTGGTTTGTATCCTTGTTTGTTTGTGCAGCATCCTACGCTCATTTTTAAAGTGAAACCAGCTAAATAAAAGTGACATTAGGCTGCCACATGTGCATTTTTTGACAGGCATCACAGGAGTGCATAGGTTGTTTTGACATCCGTCATGGCGTATTTCGAAGAGAGTGACGTCACGTGCAAAGGGCAAACTATATGACTATAGTTTGATAGTTTCATTTAATCCCTTTGGGTGGTCTTCCAGCCGTTTCTACTCTATCCCATTTTACCTCTATACCCTATAATCCTGCTTGTTTTGGCTCTTTCTAACCCTCTCAGGCAATCACATGCCAGACAGAATGAGGTTAAGTGTTCGTGTAGACCATCAATATATGCTGTCATGACTGGGTTTAGGTAAATGCCTCTCATTCATTCATGTATATGATGAATTAGATTTGGTGCTGATATCTGGGTGCTCAGAAGAAACTCTAGTATCAGCTATTTGCAAAGTAAATATGATGTTAATTTTATAATTTTAATGTAAAAACAATAAGATAACCACTGAAAAATTGAAGTGTTCAATGACATTAACACTGGTATCTAACTAGTCCAGAGGGAAGAGTAGTAAAAACGCTGTTTAATAAGCCTTTGTTAAGATTAGGACTTGGATTTGTGCTGATTTCAAGTTGGTAACCAGAACATTCTCATTCCCCATAATGGTGCTCAATCACCATTATGAACTACCTTTAGCCACACAAACTACTAGTAGTGATTTGTTTGCCTTTTATATACTTAAACACAAAGGGAACATGTTTCCTAGCCATGGTTGTAAAGCATTGTGTGTGGAAGCTTTAATGAGATACAAAGTCCAATTAGTGCCAGTAAACAATTTAGTACAGCTACTTCCTCTATGTTTTAAACACCATGCAGCCATATTGGAATTTTTGGAATGGTATCAAAGCTAATTTAACCATTTTTAACCCTTGTTCCCAGTCACTACTGCTTTTAGCAGTATAAGCTACTAGCAGTGTCGCCTTTATGAATTCAAGTACTGAAGAGGCCAACATTTTTGGAAATCCAACAAAACAGACTATTAGCGTGTTACCTTTGCTATATTTTAAACAGAGGTGCACCAACTGTGGCCGATCGCTGATTAGCTGCCTGTCCCACCGTTTCTGATTTTGACCAATATCAATTTTTTAAAAATGTCGCTCAACATAGCAAAAACCTTGCTGAATTGGCAACAGTGGAGTAACTATTGTTAACTGTAAGCATGCAGACATGACCTGCTGGGCTGGTCTGTCAATCAAAACCTTTCTCACAGGAGAGCAGAAGAGGACAGAGGTTGTTATTTAGACTTTTGTTGAGGTAGATGAGATTGGGGGATAAAATTGGCTTCAGGTGTAAAAATTGGCCAATCACTGATAAATAGGTGGATTAATTTTAAATGTCATATTACATTTTGAGGTAAGAGCTGGTGAAAAACTACCAAATTCCCCATAATATGGAGGCTAAATTTTGTTTTTCAATTTAGAAATGTCGACATTTTTACTTCTAATTAATCACTGAATTGCACAATCTTGAAATACCTACTGCATCAGGCTTTACATTGTCTCACTCAAATTTTTGTATTGAACATTGAATATTTTCTATCGAGTTGACCTCTTTCATCATAACAACTGTTTTTATTGTGTTCTTTTAATACTTTTCACAGTTATTAAGGAAGAGGCACATTGGCAACGACATCGTCACCATAGTGTTCCAGGAACCTGGGGCCCTTCCCTTCACTCCCAAAAACATCCGCTCCCAGTTCCAACATGTGTTTGTCATCGTCAGAGTCCACAGCCCGTGCACTGATAATGTCTGCTACAGGTAAATGGAACAAGCGTGCACTTTGCCTGCAAGCTATTTTATTTTATTAGGCGAAGAAAGGAGTAGAACCCTCTAGTAAGAAGCAAACTCATATGCTCTTGACAATTAAGGAAGATGGGTTTTATTATTTGAAAAGGGCTATGAAAAAGGAAATTCTTGCCAAATTGCATGAAGACATTAAATTTGAAAGCGTAATAATAATAGCTTGGTGTGCTCCTTCTGTGGTTTCTGTCATGGCTTTGTAGTAATATCCATAAATCAGAAGGCTCTTTTGATGTGTTCGGTGATGATACAGTTATTATCTTCTGAGACACCTTTAAATTACAACTTAGAGCTCTGCTTCGAATGTGTTTGTAGGCAAAGAAGACTTTCACTAATAACATAGAACAGAACAAATTTATTCTCTGTCGCACATTGGAAAAGAAAAATCTTGAACTTGTCATTTCAGAACACAAATTATTGCTCATCCAGGGTTGTTCCTTTTTAAAGGGAACCTGTTTTGCAAAATTCACCTTTTGCATGTTTTTGTACTTCTATTTGGGTCTCCAGCAATCCAAGCTGAGTTCCAGCACGTTTGTTGAGCTTATTTGGATTTAAAGTGACAAGAGCTCAAAACAGATACAACTGACCAGACTAAAATGTCATTATCTAAGAAAGATTTTGTACAAAAGATGGAATGAACATGTTTTGTTAGGTCCTTAGAACTATTCCAATTTGTTCAAGGATGCATATAGGTCATCTTTAACTGTTACCTCTATTGTTTATCCCTGCCTTTTTTTTTAGCGTCGCCGTATCCAGATCCAAAGACGTGCCTCCGTTCGGACCCCCCATTCCCAAGTCCGTAACTTTCCCAAAGTCGGCTGTTTTCAGGGACTTCCTACTCGCCAAGGTCATCAATGGCGAGAACGCTGCTCACAAGTCGGAGAAGTTCAGAGCCATGGCGACTCGTACGCGGCAGGAGTACCTGAAGGACTTAGCCGAGAACTTTGTTAGCACGGCTACTATAGACTCAGCTGTCAAATTCAGCTTCATTACGCTTGGAGCAAAGAAGAAAGAGAAAGTCAAAGCCAGAAAGGAAGCACATCTGTTCAGTGTGGGAGCCATCACCTGGAGCGTCTGCGCCCGGGACTTTGGGCAGTCAATGGACATCGACTGTCTGCTCGGCATATCCAATGAGTTTATTGTGCTCATTGAAGAGGAGTCGAAAAACGTAGTGTTTAACTGCTCATGTCGCGATGTCATTGGATGGACCTCAGGGATTATGAGTATTAAAATCTTCTATGAGCGTGGGGAGTGCATCATGCTGTCTGCCCACGACAACTGCGGCGAGGACATCAGAGAGATGGTGCAACGACTCGAGGTAATACCCTTAAAAATTCATCTCTAATAATCTGAGTGGTCTTGTAAATGTCATAAACACTGCTGGATTAGAATCATTGTGTGGTATAATACCTTCTTAATTATACTTTAATCTACTGCCTTCTGTGTAAGTCTGAAATCGCACCATACAAACATTTCAGTGAATGCAAGCCTTAATATTCAGCTTTAGAACTGCACAACCCTCTTATAAAAGGAGTAAAATACTTAGCATTTTCTCTGACTGTGGATAATTGTGGGTTTCATCATTTTTCTTTCAACATAATGAACAAATTACAGTAAAAACAATTCAATTCTTTGCAGGGGGTGCCAAACTGTGCACTAATTGTGGAAATGCGCAGCCCACATTTTAGTAACGCCTAAAAGGGAATTAATAGGAACAAATGCTAGCATTTAGGGGTTAGTATTCAATTTGGCTTTAGGTTTTTCTTAAGAAAGAAAAATATTAGTAAAGAAAATGGAGTTGCCTTTTCTAAAAGTTAAAGAAATTACTGTAATAGCAAAGGGATATTTGTGTTACATTTTAGATCACAATCTGTTTCTTCTTTAAATGTGTTTTAGTCTACTTCGTGTTGTCAGAGAGGTTCTGCATTAGTGATTTATTGAATCTGCAGGTTAGACAATTCAATAATCTGTTCTGGCTGTGACTCATGAAAATGAATAAAATATTGCATTATTTGCACTTAATTTATAATTTAACAGGTCTACATTTTGGTTTGGCTGTCCTTTTCTGCCTTAATTAATTAATGATGTCATCAATTTCAAAACTATCCTTTGTATTTAACCAGGTTGTTTTTATTTGATATTTGCATTTTTTTGATGATCTGAAACATTATGGGATTAAAGCAAAACAGATGTCAGCATGTATTATGAAAGACAGACAGGAAGCTCAAAAGGAAGATGCATTTAGCCTTCCTGTTATCTTCTATTATTAGCTCTTGTCTTGTCGTTCTGAATAAAAGCCCCCAGAGAAGGTATACTTTTTGATTTATTGTAGGTGTTTTCATTTTAATATCTGGAAAAATCAGATATGATGCAATGAAATTACCAAAACCACAAAAGAATTATGAACACTTGCTGTAGCTTAGCTCTTTGTTTTTGCATCCTACCTAAGTAACAGACTAGCTTCCAGAGAAAGCATAGTTTCCTTGCCATCTCATTGATACCAAAAATAGCTAACTTTGACTCTCTTTACCTCAGCAAGATTGTATTTACTAATTGAGATTCTGAGCAACTGGTCAACTAATTTGTTGTACCTTTGAATTTTTTATTCATGCTTGCTTTCAGAAATTGAAATCTCTTCTCCTTCTCCGTGTTCTTGCAGTGGTTGGCCAGATGGCCAGCAGCCAGACATCAGCTGGGTGGCACCCAGAGTGAGGTTTCAGACTCTCTCATTTTCAAGCAGCCTGTAAAATCTGTAGAGGGTGTTGGTCCGTTACAGGATGATGACTGCAAACGCTGCCTGATTAAGTGTTTAACAAAACAGTTTTTTTAAGCAATGGAAAGGAGGTTTCCTGTGGTAGTTTTAGTCAAAATGTCAAATAAATAGAAGGATTGAGCGGCCGTTTTCTTGCGCAGCATGAAGGGAGCAGTCTGTCATCAGAAAGACCCTGTAAATCTCAGTTTTACACTCATTCATCATGGAAAAATGACTAACTCAACGTTTAGTGGTTTCACTGGAATAATTGTGGTCTCTTTGTGGTGAAACGAAACATTTTCGCCTGACCGACTGACTTGTTGCTTTGTTTTCTTCATCAGGTCAGCAGTATTATTGCATGTTTAACCTGACATCTCTCCTGTCAAGTCCCATATGTGTTGCAACCTTACACTGCACTTCCCCTGTTTAGGGTTTGGTTCCAGTCAGCACACTGAGAGAAAGCTGCTGCTTGTGTGTGTGGCTTTTAAACAGGGACTTCAGAACAGAGGCCTCTATGGGACATGGAGGATTTTTTTCTTTTGGTTCTCACGCATGCTACCTGCTATTCATGTATCATAACTGAATAGTTATAAAAGTCTTTTTTACAGTTATATATATATATTTTTTAATAGAAATTAAAATTTCCAAGATATAAACAAAAACGTTTTGCAAGAAGGAAAGAAAGAAAAAATACATTCAAACTATTTGGACCATTTCTGAGTTACTTTCACGAGGTAATAAAGTCATCTGGCAGTTTTGATTGTGTATTTTTTGTGTTGTTAGTCTGAATGACTCTCAGTTTTTGCACCAATTAGTTAAGACTATAAGCACCTTTTCACTGAGGGTCTTTATAAGTGTATATATTTTACATTTTAAATTGACATTTGTGACTGTACACAAAATAGACCAGTTTATTGTGAGGGAACGCAAAAGAAAACATTCTTCCCATGTCATCTATGGGACTCTGTGCTCCAGATAGAATTGTACATTTTCTGCCTTTTTTTGTTTGTTTTTTTAGCTCATTACTTTCAATCCACAAAGGTGTATAGTTCACATCGCAAATTAATAAGAGCTAAACCATCAGGCGATATTGCATTTTCCTCTACAAGCTAAAAAAAAAGAAGCTGCCGCTGTCCCTTCCTGTAACTGACGGCTCATTTAATTGAATGAAAGATTAGCAATGAAACTGTTTTCTGCTGCTGCTGAATTGGAGGACGTGTGGGTGCAGGTACTGGAGGAGGCAGCTTAAAGAGGACACCAACCCAGTTTTTACAGGGGGAGGAGTGGAAACAGACACAATTTTGGCTCTAACAGACTAAAAATAGAGGCTGTTTGGCCTCATACTGCTTCACTCCCTTTAAGAACTTCCCACCAAGTCCTTTTCTCCCCTTCTTTTAAGCAAAGCCCCGGCCTCCTCTGTGTGACATTGTGAGATTTTGGTATAGACATCTATTACTTCTACTCTACAAGCACCAAGCGCTGTGCAAACATTTGCCAATGCTCCTTGTTTTGGTGGACTTTCTGTTTTATTATTATTATTTTGACCATTTATTATTTTGACCATTTAAGTTACTGACAACTACAAGTTGTCAGTAACTTGTAGGTCAAAACTCTAAATTTGGTTTGGTTTTACAGCACTTATCCGTTTAGAGAAATGTTCATAAATTTTAGACCTCAGTAAATTCAGCAGGAAGCTGTATGAAGCCATCTGAACCAACCTGGGTATTTGCCTCATAATCTTAACAGCTGGTTTTGGCTCAAAGCTGCTATCAGGCATTTGTGATAACTGGCAATGAAGGTTTTACATCGCTGCAGAGGATTTCTGGTTCACCCTTTGGAAGAATTGTTTTAATTCAACCAGATGTTAGGGTTACAGAGCAATGTTTCCCAACACTGGTCCACCTTATTTTAATAGCTATTTTAATAATGGCTTATTGACAAACCTTTGCTGAACTTCAAGGTGTGTTAAAGATGCATGTGCCTCGATGATCATGGATGGGAAGGATTGTTATAACTACTAAATCAAACTTACCTTCATTTAGTATTTGTTTTTTTTGGGTTTTTTTTTTTTTTTAGTTATTCAGATGTTGACTTGCTGGTGCTTTTGATCACTGTCTGTTGTTGCGAAGGAAATTTCAAATTAGATGGTCTGCAAGCGTTTATTAAATGGGGCAAGTAGTACTCAGTCTGAAAAAGTTTATCTTATATTAAAACCTTTTGATGAGCTAAATTGTGTGACAAAGCAGCCACAACAAAAACAAATTCAGCATATGTGTTGTTTTTTTTTTCACAGCACTTTAAATGAGGTCTCTGCAGATAAAAGGGTATTTTATGAACAAATACTGTGATAAACTGAAACGCTCAATAGAGCTTAAAAATGAGATCTGGTTGAAAAAGATTTTGCCTGTCTTAACCGTGTCAGAAAGAAGAGAAAATCCCTCTAGAACCTGAAGAAGTATTTTCCATAATTAAGCTTGAAAGGACACAGATGCCTTTCAGTGTCAGCTCTTCTCATCATAAGAAAGGACAGAGCAGGATATATTAGCATTTATGATTAGCCAAAGGAGATCACTTCCACTATGTTAATCTTCCTTCTCCTCTTTCCTGCTGGATCTGTGAAAAAAAAAAAAAAGTTGTGCAAGAGAAGCCCTGGATTAGCATTTGGAGCAGAGGCATATTGGAGCAGTAGGCCTAGCCAAGCTGACCGTGCAGACGTCGTCCCAGAGGTGTCTGTAAATGTCCCAGCGGTTGACTCGAGTCGTGTTTCACTCTGAGGATTTGCAGACTGCCGGACTTGTGATGTAATGCGAACCAGGGCGAACAGATTGCCCACTGTAACCGACAGAGGAGCTCAGAGTGAGAGCACAACTAAAAGCTTTGTGGAGAAGTCCTTCTCCCCAGGGGGCTCCTGAGCTGGGTGGCCGCATGTTTGGCCTTTATTAGACAAGTCCTCTTGGCATGGAGGCATGTATTTCTACTTCTGTTTTGTTTCCTTTCCACCGTTGGCTGCTCAGTTTGTTTGTTTTGTCTTCTTTTTGTGCTATACGCATCCATAGAAAGCTAATTACAGTAGCATAACAAGTAGCAGAAGATGTTTTTCTTCCTTTTTTGGCGTTGTTGACAGACAGGATATGGGCAGAAAGAGAAGGAGGGAAGTAAAGGTTGGGATTCTTACCCAGATGCCTTCCACCACTACACCACACTCCATTTGTTTTATACTTTGTATGATCAACCTAGAAACATTTAACTAGAAATAACTTATTAAGCCTCTTGCAATAAGCAAAGGATCAATTAATTGTATAATCAATTAAAATGAACTCAATGATTAATAGTATTTGAAGGGTAACTTTGTTTATATTTTTTATTTTAGGGTTTGGTTGTGTGCATATTTTTATTTCTTTTTTCATTTGTTGTTTTTGATTGTCATGTTTATTTTGGATATTTAAAATATTTTCCAGTTCCAGTGCAATGTGTTTTTCCAAAATCAAAGTGAATTAATCTTTCAGAGAACAACCTCACATTATTATCCAATTATCAATATATTACTTGAAAATGGTCTCAGGACAACAATATTGTAATTTATTCCAATAATCACTGTAAAACATTTTGTCCAGCTAAATTTTCTATTGTGACAAGCCTAATTATGAATAATTATTAGTATCATTTTCAACTGTGGATCATTTTAAACCTCTTTAGGTTTAGTCACTGGTAAAAGTATGTATGAAAATACATTTATTGTATTGCAGTGACATACTTATATTTATACTTTATCTGGAACAGAGCACTTTGATCAGATGAGACTAAAAACACGAGCTGAATGTCTGCTGTTGAGTAAGGTGGAGGATTTATGACGCTGTGGCCTGTTTTTCTTCCAAAGGTTCTCAGAACCTTGTTAGAGTGGATTGCATCTTAGAAATATGAAGATTATTTTTACTCACATGATTTATATTTAGAAAATATCATTTTTTATGAAAAAAAAACACTTATCCCAGAGGAGAGATCTCTAAAGAAAGACAGGAGCTGCAGGATCTTTTGACAATCGTATACATATAAAATGTACTGCTGCACAGTTTCACAGTTACGTTTAAAGCACATCCAGCCGGTGTCAATCACTGCTAAGATGATGTGACATCATGATCCTGTGCTGAAGAGAGCCAGCTGTCTAAATCCATGTGGTGCAGATTTTATTGCAGCAGCCATATCAAGATACAACCACAGGTCTGATCACATTTGTCACACTTAATTCTGAGTAGAAGAAGAAAAGAGAACATGTTAAATAAAAATCTAGAGGCCAGTGAAGTGAAAATAGGTAGTCATTGAGAGTTTTAATAGGATAATGATGAAAAACATAATTATTTATTTATTTTTTATTTATTTCAAGGATATTACCAGTCTTGTTGTTGAGGGGCTAACAATAGTAACACAAATTGTAACAATTAATTTCAGAGTGTAATACATTACAAATGGTTGAATCGTTACAAAAAAAGTAACGATGGCCATATCCGTACACAGATGTAAATCTGAGCCTGAATGGTCTATGCAAAAAAGAATAGTCTAAAATCTTTTTCCCTAAATCCATAGTCATAATCATAGAATAAGACTAAATGCTTTTCTATTGCTAAGCAAGAGTTGTTATACTGTTAAATAAACTACTTTTTTTTAAAAATAATGCATTTCTCCACTGCATAAATCTGCTCAAGTTACATGTATTTTAAGTCTTTTTACACATCTTTACCAGAAGGTCCAATGACCGAGGAAGCTGCAGCATAACAGACAAAAGCAACATGTTGCTTTTATCTGATTTAAAAAAAAAATCCTCACATTTCTTTGATGAGGCTTTTGTCAATTTGTGAACCAAATCAGAATTAATCAGCACCATTTGTAGGTTTAGCAGCCAGTTCAAACCCTGATGTCTTAAAACCTGCCCCAACAAGCTGCTGCTCTAATACGCACTTACTGATTAAAATGAATGCTCACATTTTCCCCAGCGAAGTGACCCATCTTCCTGAATGTGTTTCAGTTTTTTTGAAGATCTCCATTAATGACAGGGTTTTGTCACATCTATGAAATATGCTTCTGCTTCACTTTTACAGATGATGTCATCACTGTCAGAGCTGCGTTTGTCTTTTGTCTAGGTGTGGATTAGATATACACAGAGAATGGTGTTTTCAAGATTATTTTTCTGCTAAATATGATGATTTTCCATTTACAACTAATGAAAACATGACATTTGCTAAGTCAGCTCAAAAAAACAAGCATTCTTGATACAGAAACCAGAGCTTGCTGAGTTTAAAACCTGTTTGAAGGTGATTATTTTCAGAAGACATATTTAATATTTCCAAAATTATAAGCAAACTTCCAATGATCAGGCATGACCTGATCAATACTGAGTTCCAGTTTTTCTTTTTAAGTCTAATTTGCCAATTTGATCAACTTGCAGTTTTTTTTCTAAGGTTTCTAACATGTTAAGAGAGAAAACTGGTACAGGTCTTTCTATAGTCACTTTAAATGTGACTGTAAATGAAGGAACTACAAGAAAATGCACATTCATGCATCAGAATGTGTTACTAGTTAATCTGTTATATAGTGAGTGAGTTCTCTGTTATTCGGGTTGCCAAATACTGATCAAATCCGTTCAAAGATAAATTGGCCAACTCCAGTCTGTGGCCAGTTGTTCGGTTAATCTTTAATTACGCGTCTATTCTTTGAGATAATGAATTCAAAATTATAGTTCAGCTTTTTGGAGAACAAATTGGCCAACTACTTTAAAGGTTTTAAGAAAAATACTTATTGTGTAATGTTGTCTAGTAAATTTAGCCGTGTACTTGCTGAAAGAAGATTCTGCCCTAATGTTTCTAAAAAGTTTAGGATTGAGTCTGTGTGCTCAGTCAGTGTATGATTGTGCATTATTTTTATCTTTCATACAGCATGGTATGTTTTCTACCATATGGAGTCTCTGTAGAGGGTTAACAATCCATAGTCTGTGTTAATGTGTTTCAGCAGCCACTCTAAAGTAAATGGAGGCAGTCACCCTCAACTGAACCAAAACTAATCTAATGGGTGATTACAGCTCTTGGTTGTAGAGTTAGGTTCTTTATTTACCCCTAAGCAACAATCAGAAAGCTTCACAATAATGTCCAGTCCCACCATAAGCTGCACAGCTTTACAGGCACAATCATGAGTCAATACATAATTACTGTTCTTGTTTCAGTTTTAACACGGATAGTCACGCAGCAGACAGTAGGCCGCGTGAACTTTGCCTGAACCTGGAATGGGTTTTATGAAAGGGTGATGCCAAGCCACCTCTGGAGAAAAAGATAGGCTGATTTTACATGAAAGTGCATGATGGAAACAAGACCAGGCTTTAATTTCTTCCAGACATGCATTGGACAGGCTCAAAATGTCCATCAAAATTTATGGGTAAAGTGTCTTGTCTCTGACGGGAGTCTGAAAGCCAACAGGGGGAAAAAAAAAGGTGCCGTGTTTAATTTGTTTTCTTTATGCTGGAAATGAACAAATTGAGCCGGCAGCTGATGCAGATCATGTTTGTGTATGACTGTTGTGCTCCAGAGGCTGCTTTAGACACAAACTCTGACTCACAAACACAACTCTATGGAGACGCCGGTGTCTTAGGCGCCAATTAGATTCTCATTCATTCAGCTTCCACAGACCGATTGTAGGTTCTGCAGGCAGAAACAGGTGTGTTTTTGTTCCATTTCAGACCCGTCAGTTCGCTCAGAAATGGTTACTTTTATATCTAAAGATGTTTTAAATTTCCAAACATGCATACTTGTTTGTTCTGTCAAAAAGGGTTTTACTCAGTTTCCTCTTTTGTATGTGTGGGATATAAATACTTACAAAATTATTTATATCCCTTGAACTATTATCATTTTCTGGTTTTTGTATGTGCAGGAGACAATAATGAAAATGTATTTGACATGGTAAAGAATTATTTATTTCCACAATTATTACATATTGCCTTTGGTTCTGATTTCAGATTGCCACCAGAGGCTGTGAGACTACAGAGATGACATTGCGGAGAAATAGTCTTGGCCAGCTTGGCTTTCACGTCAATTTTGAGGGAATCGTGGCCGACGTGGAGCCATTTGGCTTCGCCTGGAAGGCCGGGCTGAGGCAGGGCAGCCGGCTGGTGGAGATTTGCAAGGTGGCAGTCGCAACTCTCACTCATGAGCAGATGATTGATCTTCTACGCACATCCGTCACCGTCAAAGTGGTTATAATCCAGCCGTATGAAGACGGTACTCCAAGAAGGTATGTTTTAACTTTTCTTACTTGTACATCACTGTACAAAGCATTAATGTTAAGTATTTTGTGTCTTGGTATAGCATAGACAAAAAACAATGGGTATGCAAACCTTTGCATGCTCCATCTCCTTATAGTTAGTGGTATTTAAAGTTTCTACTGTAAACAGGTTTTATTTTAAAATATCTGCTGTGATTTTTAACAATTGAAAAAGAATACAACTTTGACATTTAAAGACTTGTAAAAAAAAAGAGCATGACTCTTTAACAGAAGAGTCATGCTCTTGTTTTTTATATTGCTGAGGGGAATCGACTTGACATTTGCTCTCATGTAGAAGATAATTAGCATAGAGAAATGCTTACAGAACGTCATTGTTGGCGTTTTACCTTGTTTTCTCTGGAGAGAAACGTCCAACACAGCTGTAGAGTCACAAACACGGCCAGTCAGCGTTTCTCACTAATGATAATGAGATGAGCTTTTTGACTAATGGCTCAAATCTCACCACTATTGTTTGACGGCTCACATTTGAAAATTGCTTTTTTCCCCCTTTAACCTGCCATAATGTTCTTTTGAGCAATTAGGAAGTGAGGATTTTCCAGGTGCCCTTTGGGAGGTTTTATTGCTCGTTCACAAAGAGAAGCCTATTTCAAACAATCGATCAAATTTATGAGAGAAGACGTAAATCTGTGTAAAGCACTTGTTCTGAGAGCACATCTGAGTGTTTTGTCTGTGAGAGACAGACCAAGCTCTGAAACCCGCCATCCGCCGCTCTTTCACACTCACATTTTTGACATCTTTGTTTTGCGTCTGCTTCAGGCTGACAGATTTGTGCAGCAGAAAATGCTGGTTCCCCCATCACTACGAAGAGTGTATCTGAATGATTTGACTGTGTCTCACACTGTATAATACGAGGGAAGAATCCTGGCTGAGCAATCTTAGATTGGGTCATATGTATGTTTCAAAATATCCAGAATAAGGTTCAACATCTGTGTGTGTGCGCTCCATCAAAGGCTTTTCTATTATCTGTCTTCAACTCTGTGTTCCCGCCTGGCAACAAAGATGTAACATATTTGCTCCCCCAGATGGTGGTCTCGTCTGTGACTGACGAAAAAGCTTTTCTGGCAGAACCGCCGTCTAATCCTCTTACCACAATCAGCAATGATACACGATGATACAATCATAATCGCTGTTCAGGGAAGGAGAAAACCTGGCAAAACAAACAAGCTGGTCGTGTATCCACTATGCCACTGGAAGCACTGGTTCCAGAGGGAAGTGTGCTCTTGACATCTTGTCTCTGCCAGGAAGACAGTCTTATTTTGGTTTGAGTCAAAAAATGTAGAACTTGTTTTGGAAGTGTATGTACGTTTAACTTCCAGTATTGCTGTAACAACTATCTCATTTATTTACACATCTGGTGCAGATGAGATGTATAAAAAGCCTTGATAATGCTCACATTTAACGAGTAAAAAATCTGAAGTAAAGATTTCCCACAAAATCCATAGTGACAGATTTAATGCAGTGAAACGTCCACTATACTATTTCGCAATATTGGTGCCTTTAAGCGGGGGCATTCATCGTATCATTTCCAATATATTGTGAATTATTTCTTACATGATAAGAATGCTAATTTAATGTTTTCAATGCATTTCAACTGTTGATATTTAAGAAACTCCGTATTATAAGAAATACCTTCACTGCGTGTTTCTGAAGAGCTTCAATGAGTGTCAGTGAAGTCAAAAATTTTAAAAATTTCATCACACATCTGAAGGCTATTTCAAATAGGAATGTTTTTCAAGAAAAGTATTTTTGTTTGTGTAACTATTAATACTATGCTATGCATTCATATAGTTACTTAAAAAATATAAGTAATAAATAGTTTTTAATCATAATTTTTATTGTTATCAGTGTTCAGAGTTCAAGATGTAGTTTTGTAGGCAGGCCAGAGTTTGCTTTTTTTAATTGGAATTAGAGTTTGATTAAAACAGACTAAACAGGGCTGGTGTGAACATACCCTAAGATGAGGACACTGTTGTGTTTAACTAATTTGGATGCATTTGAACAATTTTCTTTCTGCATCTGGAGAGAAAGGATGTTCCTGGTCACACCATATGTCTAGGTCTGTCAACAAATGTTGCCCGATGATAAATTGTCTACAGAATGTATTGTTGGCTGAGACTGTTTTCAAGTAATTTAATGGTAATGGCGTAATAATTATGCAAGAACATAATCTCAAAGATTAATAAACTTTAAATTCTAATGAACATTTAACACTGAAACTGGAAGACATCTTGAATATTAAAAGTAAATAAACAAAACAACAGATAATAACAAATGTCCATGTTAATTGTAATGCTTTTTTAGGGATACTCTGCTAAAACAATTGTTTCTTGATACTAAGTAATTTATGAGTAAGTAAATATGAGTTACTACAACACTAAATTTCCCTTTTGGATCAATAAAGTATTTTTGAATTTGAATTCTTATTTAATAATAAATATATAAAAGGTTGTTTATTTTAACATATTTAAGTGCATATCGCAAACACATCCGCTTTATATAATATGACCAAATTGGGCAGTAATAAACCAAATGTTCACTGTCTTTTCATGAGAATCTAAATATTCTGTTCTCAGTCCTGAGAATCGCTAAGAAGGTGAGCGGTCAGGCAAACAACTTTGAGAGTCCTCAGCTGTTTCTGCTGCTGCGTCTTTGAGTTGCTAAAATGTTGCCGTCAACAATAAGTGCTCCAGTTTCTCCTCTTATCTCAAAGGAAAGGAATTCAGTCGGTCCCCGGGGACTAGAGAGATGGGGGGTTAGTCGAGCAACAATGGACCAGTCTCATGACCTCCAGACAAAGTCCCCTGGCTCCACAGAGCCACCATGACGGGGATCATGTTTTTACTAGCACATGTAGCGGCTAACAGTGGATTCTTCTTCTTTTTTTCGGTTAGCATTATGTGCTCCTGATGTCGTCTTCTTTATTAAGCTGTATTTTATTCAATTTCTCCTCATATGCAGGAGATATGGCATGGTACCTTGCATCCTATGGATTTAGACTGAGAGCTGGATGTGGTTTTAACAAAGAGCACTCTGAAAGGCTTTAAACAAGTTCAACATGTTATCTTGGGATCAAACTAATGGGAAAAAGATGGAGAAGATTAGGTCTTTGAAACAGGAATGCGATGCACAGAACATGGCAGTGATTGCATGTAGCCATGAGATATGTGGGAATAAACCAAAAAAATCAGCGCAATATGCAATATAGAGGGATATTACAGGACATGCAAATAGAAACAGACAGACTGTCATTGCATAACCAGAATTTTGACTTTGCCTGCAAGCTTTTTGAGTAACCTGACCTGGGTTTCAATATTTTATATTTTGATCCAGATGATTATTTTTTGGAAAATAGCACAGAACCATAATTTCTTTTGTGTTCAACCTGCAGATAATGAGTCTCATTTGTGACATTTAAATGTTCATTTTCAACCTTTACTTTGACGTGGCATCAGGCTTGTCATAGCGGATTTTCCTCTGGACCGAAGTAAAGCTGGATTTCTCACTTTCCATGCCAGCATCCAGTTAAAGACGGCAGCTCTGCTAAACCAAAATCCTGCGTCACTAATTGCTGCTGCTTAATCTTCTCATATCCTTCACCAGAGCTGCTTTTTTCCCCCCCAAACAGATTGATTTACCGCAAAGATAAAAATAAAAGTCTAGGCTAATTTCTCTCTCATTCCCTTTTTTCAACACTTTTTATTTGAAGAAGCTTTTTTAGGAACTTTGCAGGTCTATTCTATTCAGAAGCTGCTATAGAAGCTATTTGTCCCATCAGCTTCTTTCTGATGTTATATTTAAAGTTTTTAACATGACTTTGGCTTTGACTTCAAGCTGTTGTTTTTTGGAAAAAAAAAAACTTCAGTTGCTCAATTTCTGACAACCAGCAGTCGTATAATCAAGTTGTCTCTCAAATGCTTTAACATGGAAATAAAAAACGCGAAGGCCTGGAAGAAAACGGAAAACTACCATTTAAATGAATCAAAGAGTTAAGAAATTGTAAAAGACAAAGTTCCAGGTTGATCAACTGTTAGCAATCAGCTTAATACCCTGTAGTTTAAACTAATATAAACTTGTGAAGTGACATCAGACATGCTATTTCTGAGGGAATAAACAACATGAAATAAGGAGGAATTGTCTGAGACAATCCTGTCATCCATCGCTTCAACACGTCTTCACAGGTTTCAGGAGTGGGAGGACTCAATGTAGCACAGATGTGAAGCAGTTCTTGGAAACTGTGTTTATGCAACTCGATATCAGTTCCGCGATTCAAAGAAAAACTAAATCTTCAAGTACTTTTCAGTTTTTGCAGTACATGCTTGAGTTTGCTGTTTTTGATAAACTTTTCTCCCACTTTAAATTGATTAAATTAGCTTTGGAAAATGTCCCGAGAATATTTCTATCCATATGGAAATAAAGATTATTATGAGTATATAGAATCTATGTTGGCTTTCTTAAACCCACTGCTGTTAATTGGAACATAACTTTGTCGACTTCATCTTCACCTCCTTTTCTGTAACCACTCAGCTTTTCTTTAGCAGAAGTCTAAACACTCATTTCCTGCAGTTTCAAGTTGATTTATACACAGAGAGAAATAGAGACTCCTCGTAAACATTTAAAGACAAACGCATTCTCCTCCCATCAGATCAAGTGAAGGTTTCAAGCTCACATCGGTGCTGATAAAAAATTTCTCCAGAGGATTTCATCCTTTTACTGCTTAAATATTCTGGTACAGAAATCACAGCAAGCGACAGGGTTTGAGACTTTTGCAGGCTGTTACCAGGGCTTAGCCTTTAGCTGGGAGTAACGGCGCGTGGCTGCTAAGCATGACCACACACTCTCAGTTAATCAAGGTAATGAGGGGATTAGCAGCTCTGTTTAAAAACAATTGACCAACAGTCTGGGCAATTTAGCATCCGGAAATTGAAACTGACCGGAGGACCTTGGGTTACAGAATGAAAGGAATGGGAAAACTGATTTATTTATGGAATCAATTTTCAAAATAGTCCATGGATACTGCTAATATCCTTAGCCGATATAATGGAGTCAAGGCATTGATATGTTAGGACTGTAGGATAAAGACGAACAGTTAAATTTTTATTCAAAAGCAAGCATGTTGATCTTCCTTTTTTGGGTCCTGTATCTCCAATGGGAGGTCAGCTGTAAACAGCCCAGCCACCCACACTTTAGCAGCTTGATGAAAGGTTCCCTTTGAGAGGGATTACCCACCCCCTCCGCTGCTGCCTTTTCAATCAGAGCATCCACCTCAAGCACCACTGTTTGTACATGTATGACCACAGCAAAGTATACTGAGCTCTTCATCCTTCAGTACATCCTGGAAAATAGAGTGAGTAGGGGGCGAGGGCTGTGTAATCATCTGGCTCATACTTGAGATACTGATGGAGAGCTGGCAGAGCGACCAGGCTGTTTAACCTCAACCCACCACCCAGTAAACCCACCTTCACTTCACACATCCATGGCTCTGTCCAGGCCAGAAGATTAATGCTGCATGAAATGGCATCACAGGCCTCCTCTTGTGAGATATCCTCAGGATTGTGAGTGTAATGGTAATAAAAATGGAGGGACAAATCGCCTCCTCAAAGACTCAAGGAAAGCTGTCATTAAATTCCTCTTTATAGCTCTTTATAGTTCTATGGGTACGCCCATAGGACACTGTGTGCATGTTTGCCTCTGTTTGACATGTATTGCTGTTATCATACTGGCAAATGTGAATGAATGTATTTAAAGATCGCCTTTAGTATGTTAAATATTTTAAGGTTTTTGTGGGTTTTTTTTAAGAATTTGGATCAAAAAGGGACATTTTGTTTGCATGTCATGAAGAGGGAAGTTGCACTTGCATCTTTTTCAGAGTATTTCCTTCAGTGGTTCTTGGTGCAGCGCCCCCACTGGTGAGGAGGTGAACAAGTTTTTCAAAGAATTTGGTTAGTTTGACGGTGCAGTGTAAAAGCGAACCACTCCAGATGAAAATGTTACAATCGAACTGAGTCTACAGTGTATTTCGTGTTACTCTAGTCAGTGCCTTTGGAAAAGCTCAGAAGATTAAAGGTTTTATTTCCTACTTTAGCCTCTGGTGCAACTTGGTGATGACTTTTAACCTTGGTGATATTTTGATTCCTTTCCTTCAGGGGTTGTTCCGAACTTTACCGGATACCAATGGTGGAGTACAAGGTGGACAGTGAGGGCCAGCCCTGCGAGTATAAGACGCCCTTCAGGAGAAACACCACCTGGCACCGGGTGCCGGCACCTGCTGGGGCGCCTGTGTCCCGGGGCTCGCCCTCTCAGGGTCCTGACCGACTGCAATGCCAGCAGATCCTTCAGCAGCACCAGGCCGCCATCCCGCGAAGCACTTCCTTCGATAGGAAGCTGCCAGATGGCTCCAGGTAAAACTTTCTGTTGTTTTCCCAACCAGAGCTCTAAATACAACGAGCTAAAAATAACTCAAGAGAAGGTTTCCATCTCAAACCAGAGGAGGGTCAACTCAAACATGGTGAACACATCTATTCCTCAGGTCTGAGCATAAAGCAGATCATAGATTTATGTGAGTGAAGAATGCAAAAAATCTTTACTGCCTTTGAGACATCTTCACTTGAATGTATTGAATTGTTTTTGTTTTGCGTACTGCAAGACTCCCCTGTGATCCACCAGTTATTTTCCAACACAAGTTTTTGATTTGGCCTGATGTTTGCCGGACTCCTGATGTTTGGTTTTATTTCATTTTATTAGCAAACCCAGCTGTTTCTATTGGTTCCTAAAAGACCCAAAAGACTAATTCTCAGCAATGGACAACAGCAGAGTTTTGCTTTCAGACAGCTGACAATCAATTCCCAGCCAGACTGCCTCATTAAACAGCCTTTAAGCTAAAGGAAACCTATATTTAATTATTGCAAAAACGTATGTTTTGTCATTTTGAAGCCATTCCTGACTACAACTGTCTTTTTAGTACTAGATAGATAGACAGACAGACAGACAGACAGACAGATAGATTCGTCCCTTCACACTCTTACACTCTCATAAAGCACTTAAAAACATTTTTAAAAAATCATTTAACATCCGCAATGCTGTAGTCCCTCTGTTTCTGTTGTACTCCTATGTAGTTAATAAAATGTTAAGATGGTTGGAGAAGCAATAACAAGTTTTGTCAGACAAATCAAGAGAGGAAACAAAGCTTTTAAGACATTTCTGCTCAGGGGTTTTCATGAGAACTACGATCAAACGTCGCCACCCCCGGTTCTTTGCGAGAAAATCTTTGAACTCTTTTTTTTCGCATTTAGAAAAAAGCCACAGGGACACTTTGAGGAGCTGTTATTGTGTTCACTTATTTGCATACATACAAACGGAGCATTTTAGTCCAATGAATTCACAGCCTTGCTTTCATCTCCCTTCAGAAGATAAGGCCACACTCAGACTTTGTTCGTGTCCTATTTTGGACATCTCCATTGAGCCATGTAAAGCAGTGATTTGTTCAGACTAATGAAACCCCTACAGTCATGATAACCTTTCCAGTGTGTCACACCGACCTCCCTCCACACCCTCGGTGTTGCCTGCTCTGACTATACTTGGATAATGGCCGCCTTCCCTGTCTAATCAGGCTCTCTGGAAGTGAGAGAACTCCCATTCTTCCTCACTCCCTTTTTCGCCGCTCTCCCGTCCTCTTCCTTGCACCCTGCTGAGGAGGAGGTGATAGGGACACTGACACGGCTCGGCTCATCTCATCCAATTACTACAGAAACAAAGACAGCGCTTTCCCCGGACCACGACGTGTAGCGCCCCAGAGGGGGGTGGTTGGTTGTAAAGGAGGCGAGGGAGAGAATGAAGGGGTATTATTATACAGGAGCATATTCTATAGACATAAATCAACATAAATTATGTTGTCATTTCCTTTAATAGTTTGACTAATTGAAGAAGAAAAAGATGGAATGGTTTGTGATGACTCTCAATCATTTTAAGTGCGGCAAAGCTGTGCCAATTACTAAAACCATTAGAAATAGATGGCAATGAAAGTACTAGCAAATAAAAAAAGACTTCAAATGTGTAATGTTTATTTCTCTAAATGATAGTAATAACTGAAGACAGAAACTTGGCAGGAAGTCTCTCTTGTTCAAGGTACCATAATAGGTCACCTTTAAAACTGCCACCATAAAGCATAATCCCAACCAAACATCAATTTGAATTGAGAATCTGTGCTATATAAAATATGTCTGTATTACAAAACCAGAGCTCACCTTCAGACTATATTGCACCACAAAGAGAAATATTGCATTTGATATCCCTCTTCTCAGATCATCTTATCTCTAGAGAGGAGGAAAAGGAGAACAAGAAGGCACTGCTGCTGTTTCAAATTAAAGCACAAGGACTCAGTGGAGGAGAGGAAATGTTGTGATCAAACTAATGCGTTTGATGTGGGCAGGGATTTCTTTTGTGACAGCAATTTTTTCTATTAAAGAAAAACATGCAGATGACAACGAAGAACTAATTTGTTATCCTCTGCAGTGACTAAAGTACGCTTAAAGCCTAAATAAAACATACTTTTACTATGCCTTGCAGAAGTATTCATTCATCCTAAACTTTTAAAGTTTTTTTGACTTCACAACCACAAACCTCAATGCATTTTATAGGAATATTTTGTTTGTGATATTTCTTTTAGCAATTAAAAATTTGCAAAAAATCTATTTTGCCTGCTTTTGTATTGGAGTCCATACTTTGTGGAAAAAATAAATAAAAAAAACTCTTGATGTAATTTCAGTTGCAGGTTCTTTGGGGTTTGTTTCTACCAGCTGTGCTCAGACACATTTGTGAAAAACAGCTCAAGACCAGTCAGATTGATCAAGGAGCCTCTGTGAACTTACATTTTCAAGTTTTGGCAAAGATTCTCAGAGAGATTTTACATAATGAGCCATTTCATTTGACTTCAACTACCCTTGTCTACTTGAAGAGTAGACTCTTCAAGAGCCAACATCTTGTATGTTTGAGATGTTCTACAGTCCTAAATTAAATCAGTATTTTTCTAAGAATTTGATGACTTACTCAATACGAACATATCTAAAACTTTGCAGGTCTATAGTTGGCCATAAGCCATGAAGTTGCAGCTCTATATGCATGTTTATTTCTCTACCCTAGTTTCTTCTGTCAGGATTCACCCTGTTGATAAAAATAATCCCTGCAGCAGTTTCAAGATAGGGCCCTTGTGTTTATAGCTTTAGTTCTCCAACACAGTGTTTTACACGTAGGCTGTAAATTTCTGGCCTGTGCCTGAGAGATCCCCAACCTCTGGGCCACAAACCAATACCAGTTCCTAGGTCTTTTAGTACTGCATTGCAGAGAAAAAAAATCTGACATTTCATTGTTTTCGTTTATGGTCAATCATAAGATCATAAGTTAGATTTGATTAACAACAAAATCCTCTTATTAACATTGTGAGATGTGATGGTATCTTGTATGCATCAGGATGTGAGAAGGAAGAGCGGTGTGTGTTACTGCTTAGAGAATCCAATCCTCCAACATGTTAAAAAGTGTAAACTTTAATGGGTATTAATACATTTGCATGGCACTGTAAGCTAAAGGGAAATGATAGGCATTTTTTAATCTTCAACATAAATTAACAGCTAGCTACTTCAATGGTTATAAAAAAAAAACTTGAAAAAGCAATAACAATAAAAGAAATGACCAAACTTCAAGTGTAGGTTTTAAGTAAGAGTCTACAGCTTGTGTAAATTCAGAATCTCCTCATGCTACATGCATTCAAGAGTCGCCATCTGGATTACTTTCTGCGGCTTATGAGCAGAACTAATCTCTTTTGTGTTTATCTTTGGAGAACAAGACGCCTTCTTTCTTACTGACAGCTCCAACATTTTCTATGGAGATTATCCCAGGCGCTCACATGCAAAGGAACTGTTTTCTGTTGTGACACCAAGCGATAGTGATGCTAATGTCTGGGTAATATGTTTTTAAAGGTGCAGTCTGGACAGGTTTTGCATATTTTTTTAAATAAGTAAATGTAGAAAGAAAGTGGATTAGTGCCGGAATGATTAGCTTTTATCTCTCGTGTCAGTCAGACAGAAATGTACAGCATTATCAGGTTTTTTTACTAACCTTGGGTGTTTTTTACAGGACTTTGCAGGACATGGAGAATCCCCAGGTCACTATATGCAACAAGGGAGACCAGCACTACCGCAGCTCCCCCAGTAACCAATCCTCCTCCAGCGATCCGGGTCCATGTGGCAGCAGCAACTGGTCCCAGCAGCCCGGATATGATGGGTAAAAGAAACATAAATGAGCTACTTTTTCTTTTTGATATAAAATAGTCTCTCTATGATTATATCTTCTTTTTTCTTGCTGTTGTGAATGCAGCTTCAATCAGTGCTTGCACTATTTCTAAGACCTGGCAATTTTACAAAATGATGGCAATTTTTCTGCATGAAATGACCAAATCATCAGTGCGCTTTTGTCGTAACACATTTTTTACAGGAAATAATCCACCAGAAATTTTATACTGTGCTTGCTACGGCTTAGCGTAGCAAGCACAGTCTACAATCAGAATACCAGATGGTATTTTATAAATATTATGAATAAGTCTTTTTATTCCTTTATATTTCTTGGAACTTTTTGCAGCTTCTGTTTTGCTTCAGATTTTTTTTTTTTTTTTCGAACATTAACACTGTCTCATTTCGGTATTTTTTAATGATTCTTACTTTAAAATCTTCTCTGTACATGGTTTTTAAGTCAAAATGTTCTAAAATTAATTATCTTATTCATTATAAATTTATAAGCAGAATGTTACTTGGCCTAATCTTATCAATTTAATAAGTTTGAATAGATGCATGGATTATTGCATCTGAGACTGCAAACAGTGCAGGCATGATTTTTGTCAATCTTGACTCAAATTCAACTCCTACATGTGTGAATAAATGATTCTAGACTTTCATTGGCGCTACATCCCTTCTCTTCTTTGCCTTTATAAGCCTCAAACTTTCTCTCAACTGCTGAGGACCGCTGATCCTTCTCCAGACCAGACGACTGATCTCCAGTTAGCGTCTTTGTTAAAGATAACGAGACACCCTGGCCCCAGTTCATCTGCTGTAACCCCGATTAGCCCTCGAAGCGATAATTAAGACCTGCATTGAAAAATGTGATTTTCTTTCCCTTTTGTCAAGAGCAAGGAACAGCTTGGCATGTTGAGCGGAATGAAAACAGGCCTCTCGCCAGAGCTGTCTGGCAGCTTCTTTATTCTTTTATAAGCTCAAGTGATCTGACCTTAAAGAAACTTGAGCTAATTGCTTTAAATCCGCGGTAGGTCTTTTGAAGCTTTTCTTTGACTAGGAAACAAAGCTCACACAATAGATTGAAAATCAAGTCTTTTTTGTGCCTTTTTTCAGGTGTCCCTCCCCTATACTGCATGAGCGGGCGGGCGATATCCAAGGAGCCGATGGAGACATTCGCAGGGAAAGAGAGCCCACCCTGGAAAGAACCAGATCTGCAGGTGAATATAATCAAGATTCAAGTTTGTGCTACATAAAGATTCTGTATAGTACACGCAAAGTGATGTAGAGATTTTATATTACTCATGGGTTCTTTTCTTCTAAATATTGTCTTTCATGGTTCTCCACAGAGGCCAAATGGCACATACCCTCCACAAAGATCCTGAATCCTCTGAAGCAAAGAGAAGGAGGAAAGGACTCGCCAAACAAGCTTTCCAGGGTGAATGTCTTCTCTGCGACCATTTAGGTTGACTCAAGCTGACATCATGACATTTAAGCATATTCTCTACATTGTTAGGTTTCTGGGACTCAATGGTAAAAAAAAAAAAAAAAAAAAAACAATCAATCTACACTCTTCATCAATCTCAAAAACTCCTTAAGCAAGGACCCTGTGTTTGTTTTTCACAATTAAGATTAGTTGAGTGTCACTAAAGGGATAATACACCAATCAAAGATTGTGTTTTTTTATTGAGATTTTGTGGTTTTAACAATTTAAGTTAAAAAAAATGCAGGAAATTGAAACACAATTTATTTCTAATTCTACTGTACAGATTTGTCCTGCAGAATTTGGAAGTTTAACATGCAACCTGATGTTGCAAGTGGTTGTCTAAAAAGATTTAAAGAGAACGAAAAATAGGAATTCAAAATTTCTCAACCACTTTGACTGTAAATTTTGCAAAAACCAGAAAACTTCCTCTGTAGGAAAAGCAGACAACTCAGTTTGAAACAGTGTGAGGCAAGAGGGAACAGCTGGTTTGTCCATCTAATGTTTTGTTTATTTTACCTTTTGGATCCTGCTGGAAATAGAATAGTAGCTTTAGAAAAAGTTACTCAGACAAGCAAGAATTTCACAAAGCAAGCAGACAAAACAAACATTTGGTCCAAACAAATCTGTTGAATAAGAACAGAGATTAAGATTTTTAGAGTTTCAAACTGATCAATTCATTAGTAAACTTACCTAAAGTTGACTAATGGATTGATTTAAAACAAGATAAGACAAGCTATTTAAAAGAAGAGATATTCATCTGGCACAGCTTTTGTTGCAAATGTTGGCGATTCAGGATGTTGTTATGACTAATCTAAAAGATCTGTTGAGCATTTTCTTTTCAAATGGTTTGAAAGAGTGCATTTAAATGTAAGATGAAGGTCAGATCAGAGTGTTTTTGTGCATCACAACGGCCTCAATGTTTTTGAAAGCTGTACAGCAGTTTCAGACCTTTGCTACTCATATGTGTTTAATTTAGAAATGGACTTTACAGCCATCAGGAGCTGAACTGGGCTGCTATTCTCTCACTCTTTCCAGTTGTCACATATCCTTCATCAGCAAGCAGCCATGTGCCTAATCCCATCACCATTTCTGCCCACCTCAAACTTTTCTAGGGCATATTTTAATAAAATCGTAAATATTTTATTAGCCATAGTGTCTCCTGTCTATTTCATCTAAAAAAAAAAATATTTTGCAGTTTTTTGACTCAACATCAGCTCATCTTCTTCCTTATCCAACTAATTGCTCCTTTCTGTCAGTTGGTGCCCTAAGCTATGTGTGCATTAACCCAGGCTTCCTACATAAAGAAAAAAAAAATCTAACCTTCCTCTCGGCAGAGTGTCTCCTAATGCACAGAGCTCATTTTTTTCCAACTGTTTTTGATTCGATGTGATTTCAGTTGCATCCATGATTTAACAGCGTTGAGCATAACATATTAAATAAAGAGTGTCAGGTCAATTTCATGTAATTCGGAGTTTATGTTCTCAGTCTGAGATTTACTAGTATCACATATTACGCAGATTTTACTTTGGTTATTTGTTAGACTTCCTTCATATTAGACATATTAAACATTAACACTCTTATTTTTAAATAATTTGTTTCCTATGCATATATATCTAGTCTCCCCTGCTTTGTGAAAGGCTCATCTCTTGTAATAACATCAGTCAGAGTGGAATCAGACTGAACCTTCATCATCTGGCACAGCGAGTCCATTAAAACAACTATAAAAACAATCTGCAATTACCTGACCCAGTTTCATTTCTCTTTTTCCTTCACCCTCTTGCCCTTTCTCTTTCTCCACCAGACTGGCGATAAAAACTCAAGCCACTCTAGTAGCAACACTCTTTCAAGTAACGCCTCCAGCAACAGCGATGATAAGCACTTTGGCTCTGGAGACCTGATGGACCCGGAGATGCTGGGCCTCACCTACATCAAAGGCGCCTCCACAGACAGCGGCATAGACACGAATCCCTGCGTGGCCCCCGGCGTCCGGGTGTTGCTGCAGGGGAGGGTCGGGGAACAGGGACACCTCTGGGTCTCTGAGCACCACGAGGACGAAATGACAGAAGAGGATCATGGGAAACTATACTTGCAGCAAGGCTTCGCTTCAGCCATCATGGGTAGTCATGTAACAGAGGGCAGCATCGGAGACCTCAGCGAGATTTCGTCTCATTCAAGGTAAGATACAGATGAAGGTTAAGGCTTTCATTTCTTCCTAATGGCAGCCAAACTTTACAGCAACGTTTTTCTGGGTTTGCGGAAGCATTGGAACAAAACACTGATGACTTTTAACGCCTTAAAGTTTGAAGTTGTTTCCCTCACGTTCACAAAATGTCAACTAAAGTAGCAAAAACGATTGTTCGCCTTGGTCCCGCCTGGAAAGACATCAAATGGTGATGGAAAATTCCTCCACCATAGGACTGGAATAATCAAGGCAAATAAAAGGCTGAACACTTTTATCTTGTCAACATCACTTATATTCAATTCACTTTTACATTGCACAACAGGTCCGCTTCAATAACAATGCATCACAGTAGAATCCATCTTATTTTGTGTTGTTTATTTAGCAACAATGGCTGAAGGCCCTTTCTAAAAAGGAGTCACAGTTGGTCACAGAAGAGCCGAACCAGGAATACTTTCTGTAGGAAAGAAAAGCAGAATATTCTGAGTTAATAGTAGCAAGCACTCTACTTTCTTTGTAAAGAAATGCATAGAAATGTTGATCTTTACGTCCTACTAGCGAGACCCACCCAGCTTTTGTGGTAGATATATGTACCTTCATCACTAAGTTTAGAAACAAGACACAGAAGTACTGAGAAAGGAGTGGTTTTTGTTTTTTTTATTTTGGAAAGAGATGCAAGCTAAAAGACTGAAACAGTTTCTTAAATAGTCACAGAAGCATCATGTCTACCTTCTGTAAAAATAATAATAATAAAAGACAGATCACACTTTGATACTTTTTCACCTTTATTGGTAATTAATTACTTTGCTCTGTGTTTGCTAGATCCTAGCTGGGTCACTGAACTAATTTGCGTATGCTGGAAATTCACACCCTTTATCATTCTACATAGCTCACAGCAAAATCCTTTGTTCTGGAAAACATTGGCGCTCGCACACAAACTCCACGACCGCCAAACTATCGCGCCCGATACTGGATGTGTTCTGCCAGATACGCAGAATTACGTGCACAACTAATGGTCTGTGTCTGTTCGTTGACCTTCTCGTCACCTGGTCGTACTTAGTGTCTGCTGATCTACCACCCGGCTTGTCCAGCTGTGCTGAAGCCAGCGGTGGTCGCTGCTCTCCACCTGAAACAACGCGGAGGGTAGGGGGTTCTTTTGTGATCCCAGTTCCCATCGCCAGACTGCGGTTCTTGTGAAGGAAAATGGGGGAGGGGTGCTTTTATTCTTTTATTTTAACTGTGCAGAAATAATATAACTAATCACATTGTTTTATGATTGAACAAGATGTGTAAATATTTCTACATACAGGGCCAGGTTGGTGAGATAACTTTTTCCCTTAAATAAGTAAAATCAAATCTGGAAATCTGATTTCTTTTTTTAAATTTTTTATCTATCCAGGTTGTCTTCATCTAAAATTAAAATGTGTATCGATAAGCTGTAAGGATGACAGAAAATATAAACAGGAGAAGTCAGAAAGGGAGCAAAAATTGTTTTCCAGTACGTTATATACTTAAACTAAATTAAGAGAAAATAAATGAACGTAAGTGGTCGCTTGACCATAATTACATCCAGCCGAAAAGGGCAGGCATTCCTCTGTGACCCTCAGAAATAAAAAGGCTGGAAAATCTCTGGTTTTCACACAGTTAGTGAGTGTTCAGCATTCTCAGCAAACAGAAGCAAGAAAACCATCATTTCTTTGGACATATTTTAAAGTTTTACAGCTTTGAGGTTGACATCTTTATGGAGTTTATGATTGTCTGACTTTTATTTGAGCAGTTGTAGTGAAAGTCCTTGGCAGCCAAAAGACATGAAATCCTGATGGTCATCATCATAAATGGAAAATTAATAAAGGGAAAACCCCATGTGAATGTGGGACTCTGATAATGACGGCATGCTTATTTTTAAATCGCTGTGATTTAAAGCATATTCGCAAAGCATATGAAGCCATTATGAGTTGGGGAATGTTTCAACCACCCTACTTACAATGATTAGATTTTGTAACAACAGAACAAAGCTGGTGCTGGGGTAATATTTCTGTCAGCAAACAAGTCATTACTTTGACCAACCAATCTTAATTTCAAGGGTGAATTCACCCCAATAATATGATTAGGAACAGTTTTCCGCATACATAGAAGCGTGTGAGTTGCTTTGCTCGTTATGCTTGGAGACCCATAAATCAGCAGGGGTCAGAGCAGCAGATGTCTGAGGAACCTCTGCATAGCACCGAGAGCAAGAGGAGAAAATGCCTCTTTGTGGTTGAATGCACTGAACCATAAATGTGGTCTGTCGTTTGATATTTGATGAAATATTGAAAGGACAAAGTTCAGCAGGAATACGAGCATGACAGACTGGAACTGAGTCGTCTCACGAAGTAGGTTAAAGGGGAGGTGCTTCGTTTTGGAGGGGATTATGTCATCCTAGCTGGTTTCTGTGCTGACCATTCATGAACCATTGTGAGGTTAGGGCTGGACAATATGGCGGAAAATTTCATTCCAATCTATCGTTTCGTATCAATCTATTAATAATTATCTGTTAGTTTTTTGGTTTTAAATATCTGAAATACTACCAAACTTGAGGCTTGACCTTTACTGTTTTATTCAAAGTTTTCACCCCACACCGTCGTTTATTTTTTAGTATTCATGAGCCGCGGTGGAGAAAACTTAACTTGCTGCGGCATCAGTTACTCTACAAGTTGCTGCTAGATAACCAAAAAATGAGTGAGCGGGTTAGACTTCGTTCACAGTGCAGGCTTCAATACCCCTATTTAATGTGAAATCTGATTTCTTTTTTTTTTCTCTTTCCATTTTTGCCACGTTTATTTACATTTCCAAATATTCAGAGAAATACAGATTGGATGAATGCAATCTGGCTGTAGACTCGCTCAGGGCCAATTTGAAAAGATCCTATGTGAACCAGATTTAGAACCACATATCCAAGTGACCTGGGTCACGTTCTAAAAAGTCTGATCTGTGTTGTTCAGACTGACATGAAAATTAATTTGGGTCACTTCAGGCTGCAGTGTGAACTTAGCCTTCGGTGATTCCACCAATCTTGCTTACCTGGACCTGAGAGGTTAAACTAAGTGGAGAAATCCCTTCCTCTGCCTACATTAACCAGAATGCTGTGCAGTTCTGGATCGGACTTTATTGAAATTGTTGAATATTCTATCAGATGTATTACTTATTGATTCACATCTATCACAATTTACATTGATAATATTAAAAATACACAAAACCTATCTAGCATTTTTAGGGCATTAAAAGATGCTTTAATAAATATATTTAATATATTGTTATTGATTTATTGTCCGGCCCTATCTGAAGTAACAAGAAATCATCCATTTGACTAATTTCCATACATCTGCCAGGTTGTGGTGCAAGCGTCCATGATTTTTTTTTATTGTTAATGCTTCTTTTTTGTTGTTATTATCACCATTATTTATGTTTTGTACTTGTTCATTTCATTTCATTCATTGTTTTGGTCATGTTTGAGTTACGTTATGCTTTATTTTTGCTGTTTGATCAGTGGCTCACACCACTCTGGCAGTCCCCTTGCCCGCGGAGCCAGGTACTGTATGTCCGCTGACTCCTCCAAGGTGTACACCATCCCCCAGACGAGCAGCACAGGCCCCGAGCCGGGGCCCAGCTCCGAGGCCTGTGGACAGACACGCACACAGTCCAGCTGCAAGCTCCAAGAGAGCATGAAGACAGCTGATGCTGATGATGGTGATGCCCACTGCACTGAGGGACCTCCCAACATATCAGAGTGTGGGTGAGTGTGTGAGAGACAGAAAAATCTCGAGAGTGCACAAATGAGGTCATCAAAAAATGAGGACAACGTCACAAAAGCTCCTTATTTATGTGGTTTGATCCAATTTTTCACAATTTATCTTTTTTTTAATCACGCAGAGCTAAATAATTTTCCCTTTTCATACTGTCTTTGTCAAGTTAAAAGCCAAAAAGCTTTGGTCACAGTTTGATTAGAGATGCAGAAACCAATCGAACTATCGATTATTTTAGTAATCGGTTATTCGGACGATTAATCGGATAGAAAAATGGCCACATTTTATAATTTTTTCTTTTAATCACTTCTGCCTTTTAATATAACATTAACAATGCATTAAACGTTTTATCGCCTAAGATGCAATAACAGAACAGTCCTTTTGAGCACATTTGGTCAATGTAGATTAATTTAGTTTTTTGTTTTTTTTCTTGCAATAACCAATAAATAATTAGATATCAAAAGATGCTTCATACAAGATTTTTATATTTTTTTTCCACAGAATTTGAAGAAAATTAGGCTTCTTGATGAGTTCTGGGTTTTACAGACAAAGAAGGTTTTTTTACATCTTAAATACAAATGTAATGCTGTAATGCTGATGCTGACCATCATTTCAATGATCGATTAATCCGATAAATCATTTTAGCCTTTTTTCATGGATTATTTCTGATTTAAAACTGTAACTGGTAAGTTATGAACTGGTTGGTAAGTTGTTACAAATAAAAGCAAAAAGCTCATTGCATAGATTTTCTTATAAAATCTTGTTAATGACAGAATATATTGCAACAATGGAATTTTTGTTTTACTATTTCTTTTACAAATAAATGCAGTGGCTGAAAATAAGAACTTTTTTTTAGCACAATTCTTACAACAGCACTAAAGTGCCATGAAGATTTGTTTTATACAAGGTGTGAGCTTTGGTATTTAAGGTTCAGTGCCTGTGATTACTTCTGCCTGTTAGCACCAAGTGAGAAGCATGCTGTTGGACCAGTTTTCGTTCAGACCCTCTGCATTGTCTTTCCCACTCAGAGCTTATAAACTGGCCTTGATTGAAGCCGACAGTTACAAAATAAATAAGCTCAATGAAGCTGCCGACATAATACACTTGACACATGTCACATGTCGTTATTGATCACTCATCTGATCTCAGGTCCCTGAGGATTGCGTTGCTGGGTCTCTGACAGATCAGCCTCTCTGCTGCGAGCCAAGCAACAATCTGTCACACCCTCCACAGAGCAGCGACCAGAGAAACGAATGCAGTCGTTTAGAAAAGTTCAGAAAGTCTTCTTTCTCTTTAGATGTTGTATGAGGATTGATGACTGACAGCATCTTCCTGATAATTAAATGGCCCGCTGAAGGGAGGGTTAGATGTATGTAAGTACTCTTTTGAGGGTGTTAGAGACAGCTCTGGGCATGTTTTGGAAGAGCGAAAGCGATATCTGCCCTCGAAGAAACCCCCAGCTTCGGCTTCCGAGTAATCCAATTGAGGCTGTGAAATTTGCTGTGTGATTGATCGCGTTCACTGAAGCCGTCTTCTGCCGACTTATGAAAAAGCTCCGTAATTCATTTACCCTCCCCACTGCTTGTTTATATATTCCTACCGTTTTATTTCTTCTTACATAACAGTGTCTCATGATGAATGGCTTAATATTACTCATAGATATTGCTCTAACGTAATGAAGTTTCTCTTCCCTTCTTTGTGAAGTTTTCCCATGTGACCTAACATTGTATGAAATGCAGGATCTGTTGTAATGCTTCTAATCCCAGGCTGCTTCTAATTCTTGTTTCAGAGGAGCGGAGAGCTTGTTAGCCTTTCTTCTGAAAATGCTGAATGAGCGCTCCAGGTACACGGTTATAGTCGAACCCAGTGGCCCTGATCTGACCCAGCCTGCTCCCCTGCACACCGTCCCAACCCCCTCCACCTCCCTTTGTCCTGGACCATCACGCCACTTGAATGTCATGACCGGTCTCAAGTGCCGGTCCTGTCAACATGTGACACATTCAAGGGGCAACCAACTGTGTATCTGTAGCTGTGACATTTCTGCAGTTTCTTCCACACAACCCCACTCTTACTGTAACTGCAGCTTAGCGAGAAATTCAGACCATAGAATAAGATTTCAGTAAAATGTAGGCAGAATGTCTGGGAGTTTTAGCATCAAGCTAATAGCAATGCAATTGGATGATAAGTTGGTTCTACAAACGATAGGGAGGCTGAATACATACCAAACACATTCATTTAAAAAGAAATCTTTGAAGTTTTGCCTTTTTGAATTAATTTAACATTTCACTATCACATAAAGTCCATGTAACATGGAAGTATTCACGACACTGAGCTACACTGAGCAACTCAGAAATAGTGTCGCTTCGTCGCCGACCTGTCCTATCGTCTCGCCGTCTGAACCGATATCCCTGCGGCCATGTAACACCCTGCCAACAGCACTCAGAGTGTCGCGGACAGGCTGCTCATTTAAAGCAGAACTCACACCGCCACACGACTTCATCAGCCGGATTGGTCACATCCGCCATGCCCTGTGCCCTCCTCTTAACACCCAACACCCCTTCTATCAGAATCATTTAGACATCCTCAGACAAAACCTGCTGACAAGCAGTTCCAGGACAACCTGTCACCTCTTCAGAATCCGTTTCCAATCCCTGCATTGCGGCTTTTATGTCTTTCCTCGTCGTTATCGTTGTTGTTGTGTTGAGTACTCCTTTGGTCTGTGATGGTCTCTGTTCGAAATGCTTGTTTTTGTTCCTGCCCCTCACAGTGCTTGGCTGCACTCGTCGCAGTCTCTCTATTCATGGATTTGGCACACCGGTGTTGGGCAAGGTGTTAGTGGAAATAAACCCCCCACTCCCTGACGTCTCTCCCTCCCTGCTGCCCCATATGTAACTGACTAGCATGGAGATTCCTGATGTTCGCATGCCAAGATGAATCCTTCACTTGGACCCTGTTTTTCTTTGTTCAGCTGGTATTCCAAAAGTAGCCGGGGCCTCCTTCGCAGGATGTGGTTCTGGTAACCCTGGTTATGAAATCTGGTCTTCTTTGTTCTTGATATGATTTGCAGGCAACTGTACACGCAGGAGGCAGCATGCCAGCTCCAGCCTGCAGAGCACGATGGAAAATCCCTGCAGAGGCTGTCGAAAGAGGAATTTCAAAAGATGTTGCTGCCAGACAGCCCTCCAGGAGAAGACAGAAGCCGAAAGGTGAGGTCATTGAGCTGAATGAAAGAATGATTGGTTGATGCAAAAACTACTTAAACTTCAATATCAATGCAATGCAAAAATCTGACCAAGTATGTTGGTGTAGATTCCAGTGCAAATATCTTAGTACACTTGAAATAACACAAAACTAACTTCTCTGGAGCTTGTTTTAGATAAACAATTTCTTAATACTGATTAAAAAAAATAGTTCAACTGGGAGATTGTTTCACTTACAAGACATTTTTTTCTTCCATTTTATAAGTGAAATAATCTCCCAGTTGAACTGTTCATCATACACCTTTGAATCTCTGCATTTACAATTCTTTCAAGGTGGAGAGTCTCTGTTACGCTTGCTAATTTTTTCTTGCAGTTTTTCCTTTCACTTAATTTTCCATCATGGGGTGAGGTAATATCCCACTTTTCTGGGAAATAACTTTAAATGTTCCTGACCTTCAAAATTAACATACTCAAAATGTATCACTATCACTGTGTACTGAATTTATATAAAAGTTTTGAACTGAAGAAATGCAATAAATGAACTTTAATGATTTCTAATTTATTGGGATTTTCTAATTTATTGAGTATATCTGCGATCCATTTATTGCAGATTTACTCTGATTACAGGATCTTTAATATTCTGCTCCTCTTTATAAGGCTATTGTCTTATTATAATATGTTTAGATGATGATCTAAAGGCAGACCTGCAGCAGAAACTTTCTCCATGTCACAGTAGGAGAAAACATCTGCTCCACAGCTGATGGATCTCCGCCCTGCTGACCCCTGTGTGACCCCTGACTCACTCAGGGTTAGATTAACCTAATTCCAAAAGGAGCCTGAGTTTACACAGTTGGGATATCGTTATTGAGGACAGGAAGTTGCAGAAAGATGTTTGATGTTCCTCAGAACAATTAATTGTATCCCGAGTTCCCCAGTGCCTCAACACTCGTCCATTACCGACCAGGATGAGACCCTGGAGACGTCCAAATGGGTTCTGTTGGATGCCGGTCATTTTTAATACAAAGGCAGCCAGCAGTGTCCTCTGGCACAGCCAAGCATGTCCCTCACATGAATCGGTTGAGTGTGCAGCACTTGTTTGCAGTTTTGAATCCCTTTGGCTTACTTCTAAAAGAACCAAGCTGTTTTAACACATTTTCAATAACGAGAGAAACAAACACCTTGATTTGAATATGTTTTGTTTACAACCAAGAAGTAGAGCAGCCAGAGACCCAGAGGACACAGCCAGCTGGTTTGTTACTATAATCGCCCTCTCCAGTCTGATAACACAGAGCATGGAAAAACAATTGAAGAGCGAGAACTATCACAGGGAACCCGATGCCGAGCATTCCTATCAGACATGCATATGATCCCAAGTAAGACACACTGCAGGGTGGGTTAAATGAAAGAGTTAAATCATAAAAACGACAAAGGTGAGGGGTCACGTGATGCAGTTACCCTGAGCGGACGCTTGTCGCTGGGCTCCCACTTCTCTCGAGCCAACTTGGTTTATTTTTTCATATTTATCTCATCTAACAACTTGTAGATTTATCTTATAGCAACCTGACGCCATGCCCAACCAAAAGCCAAATCTTCTGCTTATAAATTAAACTGAAGAGCCAACGAAGAAGAATATGCTAACTAGCAAAGAAGCTAACAAGGTAGCTCAGCAGGACGAGGTGCTTGCTAGCGGCTCTGACACTCTAGCCGCGGATATTTCCCAGTCTGTCTCTGAGACGATTTCTGCTCTGATGGATAAGAAATTTAAAGAGTTTTCCACCACTCTGAACAACATCTCTGCTAAATTAGAAGCCAACACGGAGCGCATCACGGAAGCAGAGCACCGCATCTCAGCGGTGGAGGATGACGTGTCTGCGGTGGAACCCAGGCTGAAGGAGCTGGAGTCGCAAGTACGCATTCTGACGGAGAAATGTATCGATCTCGAGGGACGCAGCCGTAGAGATAATATCTTGATTTACAACCTCAAAGAGGGCACGGAGGGCCAACAACCAGTCTCATTTTGTGAGAGATGGCTCCAACTCTTCTTGGCTTGGAATCTAAGCGGGGCGTCATTAAGATCGACCGGGCTCATCGGAGCCTCGGACCGCCGAGACCTGACCGGCGCGCGCTCTGATTGTTAAACTACACCACTCCAGAGATACATCCAGGATCCTTGCGGCGGCGAGGAAGCAGGCTCCGCTCTCTTACGAAGGCCAAACGATCTACATCAGGCAGGATATGACCGCTGCTGTCAAAGAGATGCGCCGTGCGTTTAACGGGGTGTGCGAGCGTCTCATCAAGAAGGAGGTGAGGTTCTCCATGCGGTACCGGCTGTTCTGTCTTTTACGCACGGAGGGAAAAACCGATCGTTCCGATCACCCAAGGATGCACTTGCTTTCCTGGATGAAGTAAACTGAAACCATCTTCCGGACTGGTTGATTACACACATTGGACCCTGCCTCGAGGTCGATGCTTTGCTTTTTCTTTCCTTCCCTCTTCGGTGCAGAACTCTGTTGCAAAGTTATGTGGCTAATTGTTGGACAGATATTCCACAATTTGGATTTTTGTTTTCTTTGTGCCTCACATGGACAAACGACATATGATAAAAGATGTTGGTTGCTGAAATTTATTACCAATTCGTTTAAATTGCTATGGCTCGGGTTGAGATGGGGGGGCTTAGCTTCTGGGAGGATGTTTGGTCTTCTTTCCTCGGCGGCGACTCTTCTCGGTTTCATGTGCCCCTGTTCTTCTCGTGGTGTCGCGGTTTGCGTTGCTAAACCACACAGGGGTGGGGAGGGGGAGGGTAGGGTGGGGAGGGGGAGGGTAGGGTGGGGGGTTCAGAGTTTGTCTGGGAGCCATCGTTTGGGGATGGCTGTTTTTTTTTTCATTCATGAGGTTTCTTTTTTCTTCGTTATTGTCTACGCCGATGTACAATGTAAGCTACATATTCTTCAGGTTATTACACTGCCGATTTGTCAATTACCTTTTGTAATTTCATGGAGGTCTACTGCAGCTCTTGGATTGCTTTCTCACAGACTGTCAAGCTCTCATCAGGTTTATTATGAGTGATCTTAAAATAGTCTCCCTTAATGTTAAGGGAATAAATAATGTAATAAAAAGACAAAAGATCCTAACATTCTTGAAAAAGGAGAACACAAAAATAGCGTTGTTATCAGAAACCCACCTAACTGACAATGAGCACCTTAAACTGAGGAGGAATTGGGTAGGCCAGGTGTTTTACTCATCACATAACTCTAAGAGTAGAGGAGTTGCCATACTTATCCATCGCAGTCTTCCCTTTACATTGGGAGAAAATGAGCGACAGTGATGGTCGCTATGTTCTTATCTCAGGTTATCTTTATGGAGAACACATTTTAATAGGTTGTATATGGTCCAAATATATATGAGGCTGCTTTCTTCCCAAAACTTTTGTCGAATATTGTATCGGTACATACACCATATGTTGTTTTGGGGGGAGATTTTAATTGCATTCATGACCCATGTTGACCAGTCTCCTCCTAGATCCACTGCAACCTCAAGAAAAAGTCTGAGATTGCGAGAGTTTTGCCAAGACTTAGAACTGTATGACACCTGGAGAGTCACTAACCCCAGAGAGAGAGATTACACTTTTTTTTCTCAACCCCATCAAACGTTCTCTCGGATTGATTTCTTCTTATCTTCGAGAATGATATTGGATCGAGTTAGAAAATGTTCAATTGGCACATGTACGATCTCCGATCACTCTCCTGTTATCCTGTGTATTAGCCCCCCTTATGCTGATCCTGCTTCTCGTCACTGGAGGATGAATCCCTCTTTACTGAGCTATCCATCTTTTATTGACTATATTACAGATCAGTGGAATTTATTTATGGATACTAATAAGACTCCAGATGTTGACCCCTCGTTGCTCTGGGAGACGGCTAAAGCTTTTATTAGGGGAAGTGTCATATCATATACCACAGCTCTGAAAAAATCCACCATTAAAGAACAATTGCGCTTAGAAAAAACAGTACAACAGCTAGAGTTGCAATTTAAAAATACACCTTCCAGACCACTTTCTAAAAAATTAGAAGCAGCTCGCTCAGCTTTAAATCAATTACTAACAAAACAAGCAGAATCAACCATTTTCTTTGCTAAGCATAGGCTATATCAATCAGGGAATAAACCGGGCCGGCTACTAGCAAGGCTAACGAAAGGCAGAATGGAAGCAAACACAATTTCATCATTACAGGACAATAATCGAGACAGACATCATAAAACGACAGACATTAATAGGATTATGAGGGAATTCTATCAAAAATTGTACTCATCTGAATGTGATTCATCCAATGTTAAATTACAAAATTCTTAAATGGAGTAACACTCCCTCGCCTAACAGAGGAACAACAAGAAGCCTTAGGCGCCCCAATCTCTCAGGAAGAAGTCAGAGAAGCCATCGCCTCCTTAAGGGCGGAAAAGCTCTGGACCCGATGGCTTCTGCCCAGAATTTTATAAGAAATTAAGCCACCTGGTGGTAGGACCACTTACTGACATGTTTATCCATTCATTTGGGCGGGGAGACTTGCCTCCAACACTTAATTTGGCAAACATCAATCTCATCCTTAAAAAAGATAAACCATCAGACATCTGTGGCTCATATAGACCTATTAGCCTTATCGGGGTTGATTGTAAACTGCTCTCTAAATTACTCGCAACGAGACTGGAGAAGTTTGACTTTTTTAATAAACCCAGATCAGACTGGGTTCATACAGAATCGTTTCTCTTTCACAAACATGAGAAGGTTACTTAACATAATTCAGTATTCAAGCCAAACTCATTGTAGAGCCTTTGCAGTATCTCTAGATGCTGAAAAGGCATTTGATAGGATTGAGTGGAAGTACTTATTAATGTTCTGGAGAGATTCGGGGTAGCAGGTGAGTTTTTAAAATGGATCAAGATCCTTTACAGTTCCCTTCAGCCTGTGTTCTGACTAATGGTGTTCAATCTCCACCTTTTGCAATACATAGGGG